TTGTGTGTGTGTTTCATATTTATGACAGTCTGTCAATGGCAGGAAGCCCGGCGAAGGCAAACAAATCATGCGGCAGACAATGCTATATATAAGGATACAGCCATGTCCTGGCTCGAGCACTTTTATTGTTCGCTTCGAGTGGCCGCTCTTCAGCCATCGATTGGCCATTTGACGTGGAGTGCCTCCCCGATTTTATTAGCTGTTTATAGTGCCAATTAAACCGTAAAAATTAAATGCGATCGGATGCCAGAAATCGCGTGCCTCTGCCTGCCTAGCATACTTTGTGGGGCTAGCAACTTTCTGAATGGGATTTGTTTATTGGTTTTCGGTTTTTGCTGGTTTTCCGACTCTGGGCTCTCCTGCTTTTAAGTTATTTATAATTATTTTAGCCCGGCCACAGCTGAAAGGCAGCGAGTAGAATAGAGAGACAGGCAAATGACAAAAACCTTGACAACTTTGCAGTTTTGCCAAAGTTTTATGATAAGTTTTTCATCACAAGACGACGCCAGGCGGCCTGTCGTGCCAAGAAACCAAACAGACATTAGGCCAGAAGCAGGAGCAGGAGCAGGAGCAGGAACGGGAACTGGAGCTGGGAGCCTAGCAAAAACTGACATCACAATGGTTGACTGTCATCCCGGTCCTGGTCTGCACTATGGGTCGAAATGTACCACCAACTGGCACGCCACAGGACACAGACATGCCCAGCCAGGGCATCTTAACAACGACTCCAATTCCTATTCCGATCCCTTCCAGCCACATGGAGGAAGGCCATTAAAATTGCCAACTCATTTGCGGAGCTTCCTGTAAGGAAACCAAGCTCACCTTTGGCACAATTAAAATGAAAAACGTTTTTTCCTGGACAAATTTCTACCTAGATGAGGTTTTGCCATCAGCTTAAATAATAAATTAAATGCAGAAGACACTGTTAGCTATATATCTGTTGTAGATTTTAAAGAGGATTTACTCTATATGCTCAAAGGAATGATTTAAGTTTTTACTTTCAACTATTATTGTGGATTTTCCAGCCACAGATTAATTAAAAAGATTTTGTAATCCTACACTTTCTCCTCAATAAAGTGTAAATATTTTTCCCAAAAATTACCACATTTTTCCAAGAATATATAATTTAAATATTTACTTTTGGATGACCCTGAGCCCATGGTTCCCACAGGCAAAAATCAAATGCGACAGCAATGAGCGAAGGCTGGAATGCCTGTGAAATGCAGAGCAGTGAAAAGAAATGTCTCCGGATGTCGTCAACGCAGCGGCGTCAGAGGAAAAATGGGAAAAGCCACAGATGGCAGGATGGCTGGAAAATATAGAGGGAAGCTGGAGCAGCTGAAGCTAAAAAACTGTGAATTGTGGGAGAGCTGGGAGCCGGGCCAAAGTTTGTGACGAAGTTCATGAACTTGTTCAACACGTGTAGTTGGCACAACAGCCTGGCCGAATCAAAGGAATGAACTTTAAATGTTACTCCTTAATTAGGAGTCGGAAATCAAATGACTGCCTCCACTTTAAATATAGTTTTTGGCTAATCTGATGCCAAGACCAGAGGCAAAATTCTCCACTATTCAAACCCGGCAGAGAGCTGGCATCAAATCTTCCATCTAAATGTTCCAACTTCCAAGTCAAGTGGATTTATCTTTCGACAAATAAAGTTCCTGGCAATTCTTGGCACACAGCCTCGAGGATGTTAATTCCGGAAAGCAGGCAGATGACAGCCAACAGGCTCTGACGGATACCCGTCACTATGGTCGCTCCTTGGGGAAGCTCAGGCATAATTTCTAGTACATTAAACTCTGGCTGAAAACTGCCGTCTCGAGTCGCAAAAGTTTTTGGGGGAGGGTAACAATCCACATTAACATTCATGCGTGCATAAAGCCGGAAATGTTTATTAGATTTAACCGCAGCCTCCGTCCATGACCATCATGGCGTATGCGTAATGTCCCGCTGACCTTACGCTGGCTTTCATCAAAATTACAATGACACGCCGCTTCGGTCCAGGTGAGTGTCCCCATTCGCTTTCAGCAGTTAAATTCTCTCCCGTCATCACTCAATTTATCATCCTGCGATGGGGAGGCACCGAAATAAAATGTTTTCTTATTTTATTTCGCTGTATACGGTTTTTTTCGTGGACCACTCTCTCGGAAATGTCAATTTAAGCTCGGGTTTGTCTTAATTATGTGAGCTGTTTTTTTGGCCTTCACGCTTGTCCTTGTTCCCACCCTGGAATTTATTCTGGCAATGACAATGGCAAGGATCTGCTCTGGCTTTTTGCATCGAATTACAATGATGTTCAGGGTGAATTATTTGCGAAATTGATTGATGATGGTGTCACATTCGAGTATACAGTTGAATAAAATATATATACAGGAAATGTATACGCTGTCACCTGGTAAAATAAATCAGGAAAATCATTGGCTTAGGACACTTCTCTTCTCAAGAGAGTTCTTTTGCCAAAGACATACCACTCAAGAGCCTTGCTTCTCAAGGGTCCTTCAGGAATATCGTATTTTCTTTTTTTTTTATGGATGAAATCAATTTATGTATATATATATTCTAGTTACTATATAGCCTTCGATTTTTATATATTTTATTTTTTAACCGAAAATGCTGAAATTTCCCAACATCATTTATCATTTAAAGTCGTTTGTTAAAATACAAAAAAGAAAAAGGTTGACCAGCTAAATATTGTTACAAATGGGTTTCGAGGAGAGAGTGTGACTGCGATGATACGAAAACATTTAAATTAAATGAAAACAATGTTTTTCCGCCTCGGACGATTGCAAATCCATGGGCAAAAGGACCCCAAAGATAAGCAAACAGCAACCGCAAGCCATTCGCATAGGCAAACTCCACGACTAAGACAAAGCAAACAAGCAAACAAACAAATGGGGGCAAAATGGGAGAAGAAACAACCGCAGAAACAATTTATTATTTTGTGATTTCCCCCTACCGCCTCCCCCCAATATGCAGGTTTGGCTCGGCCAACTTGAATAAATAATGAAATCGGTAAGCAAGCAGCGGGCCCAAGTCCGGTCCAAGATGCTAAAAGTTAAGAGCTGTGGCTACGGCTTAGCCTGGCCAAATGGCCACAATATTGACCGGATCCGGGCCAGCAAACAAATCTGAATAGACTAGCTGTCAGAATGCCAAGATGTTTGACCAGCACACAACCCAATTGGGGGATATGTGAACTAACTGGTAAAGGAGACTGGGAGCTCCGTACTTCATCTTCTGGAGTTGGAGGAGGTCAAAGGTTTGGCCCCGAAATTTAAGCTGCGAAATCTGCCACTTCTTGTGCAATTTCTCAATCACATTTAAGCGCTGGCCAGCGGCCAAACGTTGCCAGTTGCACCCAAAAGCCAAAGCTATAGCCAATCCAGTGTTCCATTAGTATAGCGAGAACAACCGACCGACCTTTTTTTTCCTCCCTGATAAAATATGAAAAACCTCACCCAAGACGAAGACGTTGGGGGAAATCATACGGCAACACCAAGGCTCTAGCCACTTGGCCTTTGGGAGTTTATGGAAGAGCTTAGCAAACAAAATTATATTCAATTTCCTTTAATGGCCACCATAAAATAGCAGTCAGCAAAAGTAAAGCCGGCCAAAAGCCGCCACAAGAAGAGCAAAGCGAAAAAAAAAACGTAGGCGTTGCGCCGCGAACTTCGCAGAGCAGAAATCAGGACGCGAGCAGTTATCCTGCCTCCTTCGGGCTTTTTGTTAGGTAAGCAACTTGTTTGAAGTACTTTCAGTACTTCACAATGGATTATGTTTAGATGTATGTTTATCACAAGATATGAATATTCCATTTGCCAGGGCCAACAGCTGCAGTGGGTCGTGTGAAAAACGATTAAGCATACGCCCCGGTGTCCGCTCCATTTGCCACGAGTCTATCCTGTCAACCAAATTCGTTTCAGGGGAATTAAGTGCCCCCATGAAATTGTAATGAATAATGATATTTTCAGGATAGAATATCTAAAAATAAATACTTGACAAAGCAGGATATAATATTATTATAAAATCATTTAAAGAACAAGAAAATAGTTGTAATTATGTAAAATATTAGATATATCTATAAAATGTAAGCTTTCAAACTTATTCAACGTATTTTAAATATTCTTTAAAATCTTATACAAAAGGTATTAAAATAGCAAAAATATTTAAATACTATTTTATTTGAATCATATTTTAAGAATTTCCTTTAAGGCTCATCCCTTTGGTTCCTAAAGTTAAGTTCCTATTTAATTTAATTACAAAAAACAATCATTCTCAGAGCTACTATATTATAATTTCATAATTAAACTTCTTAAAGAAAGGTACTACTTAAATTTAAACCCAAAAACCCAGCTCTCTTTTCCTAACAAATTCACTGCACAAGTCACCTTTTCAATCAACAAAGGATAATCCAATTTTCAAAGTCCAAAGCCGTTTTTTATTTGCAAAAACTACTGGATTTGCAAAGCCTTTTTTCAGCTTTTGAAATGAGCTTAACAAAGATTTCAGTGTTTAGTGTACATGTCTTTCTTGAAATTTAATTTAATAGAAAATCAGCTTAAGAGCTGCTTTGTTTAAAGTACTAGCATTTGTAGCTAACCGACAAAGGTGTGAGCCTTAAAGTTTATCCAGCAGCTTTAACTATGCCATCGCCCAGAGCTGTTAAGCTTTGTGTAGGAGACAACATAATCCAGCAGATAGAGTCAACAAAGGGGAGCGTTTACTATTAGGTTTATCGCATTGCTGAGCCACACGCAGAACGGGCGAATTTAATGCCATCCGCCCGTTGCCAGTCGCCCGTTGCCTGGCAATAAAGATGGTCCTTAAAAAGTCAACAGCAAGGAGCATTAAATTGTATGTGAACGGTCCTCGGCTTTCTTTTGCTGTTATTTTATCCCCCCGCCTCTCTGTTGTGCGATCAACGCCTGGGTTTGTTGACACCACAATAAATGCTGTGCAAATATATACGTATTATATTTGGGTTTATTTCTGGAACTTACCCGAGAGCCAGGACAAAGGCAACTGCATTGAGCAATTAGCGAAGTTGGGCGGCTAAAAGGATATTTTCCGATTGCATGGAAAACTATTCAGGCGCGAGCTTTAATCAAAAAGCATTTAGAACATCGCGCACACTCTGGTACATCACACACTGGCACACACACTGGCTTGCGGCACACTCTCGATTTTTAGCACTGCAGCCGACTGCAAATATCAATCAACAATTGCGCCGCCCGAGAGCATGCAACAATTTCTATTTCTATTTGTATTTCGCCTGCTCCTTTGTGCCCACGCGGCGTATGAGCAATCAATTGGCATCGAGTTCGGCACGCGTTGCGTTCAATTATTCAAAAGACCGTTACGCCAGTTCTGAATGGGTTTCGGAAACGGATTCGAATACGAATAATAAATATATATGTGTTCTCTAAATCGGAGCCGACCACCCAAGCGTCTGGTTTGCCAGCCGACGTTGCACTGAGTCTTCCTTGGACCCAGCACCTTGCTTTTGGAGGCGGCTGTGGCATAGTGGCCCCAATGCGTTCCACTCGAATCGGCGCCTGCGCAATGGCCAAGTGGATGTCATTTGGAAAACATTGTCGCCTTCGTTTTTCAATTGCCAATTGTCCAAGGAAACGGAAAGCAGCTCTGCCTTGTCCGTTGCTGCAATCGGAGATTTCAATTATGCATGTGCATCCCTCACAGCTGATCCAACGCCGACCAGACTCCGGCGGGTGGTCCCTGTTGCCGAAGTAGTCCTTGTTCCTGGGAAATTGCAAGCGTCTTAAGCCGATGCCTGCTGTGTGCACTCTATAGTCTGCCCAAAAGGTGTCCACGGCAATCACTTTGCTCGTGGCAAAAAACTAAACACGTTTTTGGGTCCTAAGGCGCTTAACAGGAATGCAGAAATGGGTTTGGCGACGGAAAATATGTGCGAGCTAGGAATACATTTTGGTGAGTTTAAGGCTCCCAAAGCTACGACTTGGAGTTACATTATTATAAACGCGGTTTCTAGGGGAGTTGGAATCTAACAATGGGTATTTATATACTAAGGAAATTCTGGGAAATGCTTGATATTTAAGAGAACGTTTGTTGGTATTTTAAGCTATTTTATTCCGGGTAAAAAGAACATAATAAATCTTATTATATTATAAATATTATTATAGGAATACATTTCCTTAACTCCCCCAAGACCTCACTTAAAACCCCTCAATTATTCCACATCATTTGGCTGGCCATCTCTGGCACAGTCCCAACATTAATCTAATGCTGATATTTGTGCATACCTTGGCCAGCTCCCCCGAGCACTCCATGCTTTTCCCTCTGGTCTCGTCCAATAAAATGCATAAAATGCGTGCACAGTTGGCGACACAGTTTGCCTAAATGCAATTTCCACAAGCTCCTCTCCTCCTTCGCTTTAGTTCCTGCCCGGACCGACTTTATGTGTATATCATTATCGGAGGAAAGAGGAAATAGCCTGCGGAAATAATTGAATTTGGCGGAGACGAGCTAAGAGGCGATTGCCGGCCATTGCAACGCTCGATTTACTTGGCAACATTGTCGATGAAGTGCAGGATTTAAACGGGCTTCGAAACGACTCCTTCCTTGGTGCTCCTCCAACCCATAAATCGAAGGGAAGCCTGGTCAATCGTCACGCTTCAAAAGTTGACAGAATAAAAAGCGAATACGATGCCTGCTGTACCTGCAACCATACATACAGTTGCTGCTAATTATGAACCTCGTTAGTTGGACAGGTGAATGATGGCAATGGCGACCCCGGAGGCATCTCTCGTTTTTGTTAGTAAGCCGTTTGGCAGACCCCTAACCCGGCGACTACATCGACTTTCGGCAAAAGGCCATAATTAATGAGGTTGGGCATAAATCACCAGCAGGCCAATCAAAGTTGTCTCAATGCCCATACGTCAGGGATTTGCCAGGAATTTTTCGGGTTACCGTGTGGCTGCCACATGGACTCATCTCTGCAGTCGGATACTTGCCTGTTGCAATTAATAATCCCCAACAAAACAAACAAATCAAATGCCCGAATTAGCCAAGAAGGAGGTCCTTTAAGAACCACTTGTCCGTTGCACCTTCTATGGCTTTCGATTCACGTCTGATGTAGCGTTTTTTGCATTCCGTATTCCCTTCCCCGGAGAATGGACCCAGTCTGACGTGCGACTTTATTTGCGTCTTCTACGACACGCGTCAGTGGCTCAAATCGAGCACCGAGCCAATTGTTCTGGGTTATTCTTTCCTCCTGGTTTCGTCCTGGTACTGCTTGTACTCCAGCTCATGGCCCGATTCCTCGCATGTCCGTTCAACTGACAATTACAACGCATTCGGGCTATAACTGTCGCTCGGCATTGCCTGCTGGTTGTTGCGTTTCAAGTACCCTATAAGAGGGTTTGTTGACTTTGAGTCAAGACAATGAATACAGACAGAACTTAAAAATCTTAATAATTTATATTATAAGCATTATGTCTTATGTGTCCTAGAATTTATCCAAGAATTTATCCTATACAAACCTTCAGTTCAAACAATTCCTTTTAAATACAAACCCTTCCAGGTATTTCAAAGTCGACTTCCTCCACTTCACCATTTTACCCAGCTTTAGTTGCTGTTTTTCGAGAAGGTTTATTTAGCATGCAGCTGGCAAGACGCGCGTCAACGTCCATTGAGTCCCAGTCCTCCATGGATCTAATGGCTTCGTCCGTGATAAAATGCTCGTAGCATGTGGGCGTGTGGAGAACGTGTGGAATGGAAAAGGGACTTTTCCCTGCAGCAACAATCAGTGGCTGTCGCTTAAAACTTCTCGTCTCGCGCGCGCATTTTAGTTACATCGCCGATAATATCCCCAGCCTAATTGCCCATACACGCGCGAGCATTTAAGTAAGTTTCTGGAGATAAAATTTACGCCGTGGGCCAGTGTTTTTCGGGGTTAAAGCGTCACAAACAATCGGACTGCTTGTGTTCCCAGAAATAAAATATGTTTATAAGTGGGTTTTTGGGTTTGGGATTAGACCTCAGATATTTATCAGGAGGAGAAGTCGTGAAAAGTTTACAGGCCAATTAGAAAATCAATCTCTAATTAAGATGTTCTGAAAAACAGAAAGGTAAGGGTCTCTTAGGAGTGTAGGGTTTTGAGTGTAGGGTTTTTGCCGTGATTGTTATTACATTCTTAAAACAAACTAAGCACCGTAAATCAAACCTCCAGGCAGTACTAAAAATATTTAAAAAATGCAAATAGAACACTTTAGAAAGAGAAAAAGTAAGCACACCTCGCTTTCTGGACGATGGTCGCTCCAAACATGACCGGAACACCGCTGCACGCCATTTTGTTTTGCGGCAACACGACGAGCTAGGGGCGCATGTTAAACCATGATTAATACGTGTTGATAAATAGTTATTGTAATTAATCGCGCTACCACTATCGCTTAAATTTAAATCAAGGCAGAAACCAAATTGTCGCGACTTTTCTGTGGCCTTTGCCGTGCATAAATTTGAATTTGGCGCCTGCCCACGCTCCAACCTTAGCAATGGAAATGCATTTATCATTCGGCGTTCGCCCCTCGCCATTCCGAAGTTAACAGTCGGGGTTTATCTGAAATTAAAAATCGCCTGAAGCCTGAAAATTTATGTCAGCACTTTGCTGCCAATAGTTTGCACACATTCCTTTGCTCCTTGGTCCTTTGAAGTTGTGTGTCCAATTGACGTTGCAAATGCGCCGGGATGTGCCACTTGTTAGCCGCAACAACAAACTTTTGCCATAATTAAAAGCTAACAAAACTTTTGGCTTTCGTTCGGCAAAGAGTACATACAATATCTGGGGAACAGAAAAAAAAATGAGACACAGCTCTTCTATTAGCCAATTCCTGCATGTTTCGGTCAATTTGTATGGACCAGCCATCGGACGACATGGAATTCATGCACCTTTGTGCCAAAGTTTCACCTGTACTTCATCGTGGCGTGCATCGAGCAGCAGGACAAGCTCAAAGGACGAAAGGATAGAGTGAAGGATGAGATCTCTGAATTAAGTCTTAAATTATGTTTAGGAGTTTTAATAGAAAAAATATATATTTAACTGGATAAATATTTAATTTTAAAGGCATATACTAACATACAAAAATATTTCCTACATTTTTAAGTTGAAATAAGAATTTTAGCCCAGGTTTAGGGTCTTAATATAAACTCAAACATCTATCAATTGGGAAAAGGTAATTATTTTATTTTTAAATATTTTTAATTTAATGTTTTCCCTAATTTAAAGAACTTAAAAATTCAATAAATTCAATTATAATAATAAAATTCAAAAATATTCCCTACGGCCATCGAAGTTTTTAACCTTTGTCAATAGGTTTGTGTCCACGATGTTAGCATAGTTCACATCTAGAGGGCGCTGTGTGTAGAATGATAAAGCAGAGTGACCAGGTTTTACATATCCGTTACTTTTCAAAATATTTAAATTGCATTTTAAAATTATTATCCCCAAAACAGAGTATTTTTCCCCGCAAATCCTCTTAGAATAAAATTTCAACATTTTCCTCTTTCCCCATCTCCCCCATTCAAATCAAAAAACCAACTTTACCGCTCTCCTTCGAGTCGAATATATATTAAAAACACATTTGCAATGTATTGTGCAAGAGTTAAAAGTACTTAATCATACATTTCTACATAAACAGAATATACGTATATATTAAAAGCATACTCATATCGTCGCTGTATACAAAATATATATCAAATGCTTCAAGGTAACAAAGAATATAGAATAAACCGAAGAAAGGGGCTAACATTACACTTTGTACGGATCAAAATGTGCTGAGAGATGCGATGCTCACATCGAAAGCAGCGGCTGCATTATACAAAATCATCCTCTCGCAAGAGATTCCAAAAATATGTGTTTGTGTCTGTATATATATGTTATTCAATTGAGGATTTAGCAATCACATTACTGGCACTCGTTACATTGAAGCAAATTCCCTTCATTTTACGTTTACGTCTGTTTCTAAAGCATTTTCACATCAAGATATTTAAGGTGGTGGCCCCGCCAAACGACGATGGCGAAACCATATTACTTCTGGCCCAGATGCAGCTTGCCGAGCAGAGCGCTTGCCTGCTGGCCAGCAGACTCCTGGGCCTGTCCAGCCGCCTCCTGCACACTCTTCTCCACAGACTGACGCTTCTCGTCCACGTACTGGTTGGCCTCGTGCAGCTTCTGGTCCACCGCCTGGCTGGTCTGCTTGAGAGCTCCATCAATGGCACCCTCCGCCTGCTTCAGCTTCTGGTCCGCCACAGTCTCGGCGGCCTTGACGCTCTTGTTGATGGCATCATTGGCGGCCTTCTTTGTCTGGTCCACGGCATTGGCAGCAGCCCGCTGGGAGGCCTCGGCCACATTGGCGGCCACCTGCTTGGAGTTCTGGGCCACGGCCTGCGCCTGCGCCACTGTGTTGTCCACGGCCTGCTTGCCCTGGTTGACAGCTCCGGCGGCACGGTTTACGCCCGCATCGATGGCCTGACCGGCCTTCTGGGCCTCAGCGTTGGCCAGAGCAGCGGCTTCCTTGGCTGGAAAGGGATAAGGAAAGTTATTAGTTTGGGTGATTTTTAAAGAAAATTTTAAGGAAAGTCTCTTAATGAAAAGGGAAATGGGGAAAAAAACTATCAAGGAATTTAACAATTTGTTAAAATGGAAAAAATGGAAAATTAGACTTCCTAAAAATTTACAAAAACTTGTTTTCAGTCTTATAATGTGCAAATAATATTAATTTGCAAATTATTTATGGCCTTAGTGCGTCAGTAAAAATATAGATATGTCAAAATGCCTTTGAATTTAGCAAGCAATTCGTTTTGTTTATGACTTTTTGACAATTATTTTGCTTAAATATATAAAGCATGACAGGACTTTTAGTTATTTGTTGGAATATTTTCTTATAAATTGTCAGAATAATTTCTATTTTTTAAAAATGTTTATGAATTGTGTAAATATATACAAACTTTGATTTAAACTAGTAAAAGTTTTTGGATTTAATTGACCACTAATTCTAGGACTTATTTTTTCCAGATCCTTTTAGAATTTTGATATAATTAACCACTAATTCCAGGACCTATTTTCCCAGTTCCTTTTAGAATTCCAAACTCACCCGTGCTGGCGGCTAGCTGCTCAGCCTCTCCCTTGGTCTGCTGCACCGACTGACCCACCTTCTTGGCCTGCTCCTCGGCTAGCTTCTGGGCCTCGACGGCCTTCTCGTTGGCCAGCTTCTCGGCCTCATCCTTCTTCTTGCTGAACAGATTGGCCGTCTTGTCGCCAAAGTTCTTCAAAGAGGCTGCGAAGGGAGACAAAAGGTTATATTATTTATAGAAAGGATTACTAATAGAATTTCAAAAACTACTTTGATTTTGGCGACTGGGAAACATGCTGACTGCGGGACTTTCTGGATGCAAACTAAACTTAGCGCCGGCGACAATTGTAATTTATAGCTGATTTTAATCAGCGGCGATTAACTAATTGCTGATCACTGATCAAATTCCAGACTACTAATTGCCGAAACATAAACAAAGCAGCTGGAGCATGAACTATTTACATGACTAAAATCGGATTCGATTAGGTTGCTATTTTTGTTTTCTATTTTCCATTTTCCATCTTCTATATTCTATTTAAAAAAAACAAAACTGCGCAACTGGTTGAGAGCCTGAGCTGGTCGTGATTTTGAGCGCCAGCCATGGCGTCAGCCTCAAAATTTAAAACACATTAGCCACTGCGAATAACATTCGCAATTTAATAGAAATTAATGAGCACGGCAGCGGCGGCACTTGTTCTCAGCTCTGTGAATATGCATTCACATCGAGTGACGTGTGCCTTCACTTAAATAGAAACATTGTTGAATCGGAACTACTGGTGCTGCCTGCTTCCCCAAAAAATAACACACACAATTCCCTAACAAAACGAAAATATTTGAATTATTCAGAGTATGTGATGTCATAATGGGGGCCACCATTGCCTTCTTTTCAACTCGTTCCGAATGCCTTTCTTCACGCTTTCTGATTGCGATTGGGAATGTGTGCTTATTCTGTTTAGCAGCAGCCGCCACTTTATCATAGATATTTTAATGGCTCTCCTCTAGAGCGTTTCCACATAATTTCCTCGTAGATTTGGCCAATTTCATTCCGCATTTAATGATCCACTTGCCTGGCTGAAAATTGTGCGAAAATAATAGTTTCTGCAGTTTCCAGATTGAGGAATGTGTGTGGGCACACGGTTGAGGTGTTAAAATAACATATATATAGAGAGTAATTCCGCCGAAATAGGGTGTTTGCAAACAAATATTATATATACTTTTGGATGCTAATTGCTCTTGGTGTTGGGGTATGTGTGGCATTGAACTTGCAGGAATATCTAGGAATTTGTGTTGAAAAAACGTGCTTTTCAGTTGGTAACTATTTATGGTTTTCTTAGTCATGCAGATCTAGGAATATTTATGTTTTTGTGCTGTTTTCTAAATAAAAATTAAAAGTTATACATTAGTATTTTCCGCTTGTAAAAGGCTCTCAATGCTAGCCAAGTTTAAGAAGCGAAGGCCTAGACTGTAAACTGTTGTTTCCATATCTTGTCTGGTATTATAATTTAAGTCAGAAGCTTCAAAAACAGTGAAGAAATCATTTCCGATCCCATAAACCATATATATTCTTGATCAGCATCAACAGGCGAATCTTTCTAGACATGTCCGGAAGAAATCGATTTTTTGGCCATTTTTGCGAAATTTGATAAGGGGTTACATCATTAAAATGAGCAAAAATGGCCAAATATTTTGATTTCTTAAAATTTTAAATTTGGTATGCAGTTTTTTTTTAATTAATAAAAACTAACACAAAACTGCTTTCCGAATCGAAATTAATGCATTTTTGGCTTAGTTATGATGTATTGTAAGGGTCTACAAACATTGGTTGGCCAAAGTTAGTTATCTTTCTTGTTTTTCAACAAAAAATTAGTATTCCTCGCTTATATCTGTAAACATTCATGGAATGCCTAAGGCAATCACAAGCTCTTTGAGGCATTTGCGTAATACGACAACGCATTTTGTTCTTAACTTTGTTCTTTCGTTTTTTTTTCTGTTTTTTATCCGAGTCTGTGGCAGTTTGTGGTCAATATAAAATAAAACCGGCTAGAAGCATGGCCAGAAGGTAACACAATAAGCCCAGCGGGAATGACTCTCACAGCCTCAGCTTTTTGTAGCGTTGCCTCTGGCTTTGCTATTGCTTTTGCTTATTTTATATATTTTAGCTGTTGTTGCTTTTGTCGATGTCGTAGCGCAGATAATGCGCAGAAGTCTCGGAATAGCAGCAGCAGTGGAAAACCTGTAGCTGGGTACAAGCAAACCCAGTTCGGAACTCACTCACACAGACATACGCCCGCAGAGAATCGGTTGGAATGAATATATCTTCTATGAGTAACTGCGATTTGAGGTCTGCCGCGAGACTCACGTTCCACACCAGTTCTGGGAGCCCCAACAGCAGTCCATGAATCGATGGAGCTCCTCTTGTTGTTGCTGCTGCTGCTGATGATGTCATGTGAGATAGAGATACAAATTCAAGCGCTTTCGGATACAGATACTACAGATACAGATACAGATACAAATGCGCGTGGCAAGTGGCGGCACGGAATTCGCACGCCGAATCAATTGTTTTCACTCGGAGCGTCATCGGTCTGTCCTGGGTACGAAGGTCAGCTGAGTCAGCTGGCAACAGGCCAAAGCTAGACCAAGGGATTCGTGTCCTGGCTGCCGGCTGAAGGATTGGCTGATGTCATGGCCTCGCGCCAGGTAAATCAATAATCGGAAAGAGTGAGGGCAGGTCAGACATCCCGGCCTTTGGGCGGGTTATGCTAATGGCTATGAAGTCACTTCTACCGCTGATCGAATCAGCAGGGCTTAAGCTACACTGATTTGGCGGAGAGGGAGGGTTGGGGCTTAAAGCAATTAAAATCGACATTCATTTGGGTTACAATATTATATATCATTTGGATATAAACTTATTGTTTCTGATGTAATTTTATTTTTAGGGTATGGAAGGTTAATTCTTTGGTTTAAAATAAGATATATGAATCTAAGTCAAATACATAATAAAATTATAAGAAATATATATTTGAGATACAAAATATAAACCAAGATACAAAAGGCAATTGTTGTGCCCTTCCTTCACTTGTAATATCATCCCTGCTTATTCCCCCCATTTATTTCTTCAAGTGCACCTAATGAATTTTCCAATTAAATTGAATGACCCTAAACCTGACCCACAGACACACAGAGTGGAACAAATTAGCCCACGACATTGGCGGCATTCCGCAGGCATGAACTTGTAATTGAATTAGCCAGACGACGTCCAGGGCGATGGGAGTCGTGGTGCCTGGACCACCTCCGATAAAGCCGGAATCGATTGGACGCACTGCTGGCCAGCAGAGGATATAAGTACAGGAGGCGTCCTCTGATTCCGGCCACTGTGCATAGGTGGATCGACAGCGATATGAAGCATCTACTGGCAGCACTAGTGACCCTGCTGACAGTCCTGCCGCGAGAGCAGGATCTGGTCCTGGGCGAGGGTAAAGCCTGCTCGCAACGCTATTTGAGGAGGATCAATGGCAAGTGCTACTACTTTTCTGTGTCCAAGGTGAGTTCGGTAGTTTCCAGAATATCGATGATGACAATGATGTGTATGCCTCCGAAATCCCTTGAAATATTCTACAGGAAATAAATTATTTTCCCTTTACAGTTGAACTGGTTTGGGGCCTTGAACAACTGCTTGCGCAAGGGACTGACCCTTGCGGACCTAAGCAATTCCCGGGACTTTGACGGAGCCATCGGCTTCATGAGCTCCCTGGGCAACACGGAGGACTTCTGGTTCGGCGGCAACGATCTTTACCACGAGGGCCGCTTCCAGTACATCAGCAATGGACGGCTGGTGCGTTACTACAGCAACTTCAGCAATGTGCTGCCCGCGGAGCACTCCGAGTGCGATGACTGCTTGGAGGTGCGAATCCGAGACAAAATGAACATGGTGGCGGCGGAAAACTGCCTGGAGCGGCAGTACTTCATCTGCTCAGAGCGCTACTGTGATCCTAATTCAATTGATAAGAAAAGGCCGAAGCATCACAGCCACGAGCATCTGCATCACTTTCACCACGACATCGGCGACGATGGCGACAGCGAGGGAGAGGGGGAAGATAACGCAGGCATGGCCTTCAAAGAGAACATGCTGCCCATTGCCAGTGCATCGAAGGAGGAAACCAACAATTCTGAGGTGGACATAGGAGCAGCAGAATTGCCGACAACTCTGGCTCCCGCTGAAGAAGAAACTTTAACCAGCACCACAACAGCGGGAGGGGAAGGAGAAACTGAATCCACTACCACCACACCAGCAGGGGAAGGAGAAACAGAAGCCACCACCACACCACCAGCAGGTGAAGGAGAAACAGAAGCCCCCAAAGCAGCAGGGGAAGGAGAATCAGAAGCCCCCAAACCAGCAGAGGAAGGAGAAACAGAAGCCCCAATAGCTCCCCCTTAAGTATCCCCGCCAGTCTCATGAGCTATAGCTTATAGCCAATTGAAACCTACAATTCTTTTCGATTTGAAATAAATAAATAAAATGGTCAACCTTTAAAACATACTCCTCTTAAGCCTGTAGACTTGGTTTTACGAATCATATGAGGGCCTGATTTACCAAGGGATGCTCCTTGGTGTATATATGTTCAGGTCCTAACTAAACAATAATAATAATCCCAGGTCCCAACTAATTATTAAATTGGTTTAAGAGCGGGAAAAGTTAGTGTTCCTTGGAGGAATCGTAGCAGCTGTATAATTGATCTTTGTTGTACTTGTAGAAACTTATTTTTGGAAAGCCTAAATCTACCAAATAAATATATTAATTAACCAAAATTGAGGGGAGAATTCACCAATGGAGACTTCAAATGCTATGTCACTTTTCCAGTTAAGTTTAAAGCCTAAGTAGAGCTTTGACCTTCATTTATTATTTATTGCTTTGGGTAATATTGGGGAAACTTCAAGAGTAAACATTCTCATATTCTTTCGTTGCTTAACAATTAATCTCAAATTCTATAATATTCCTAATAAATATTATAATAATACAATTATTAAATTAATAAAAAACACATCTTCCAGAAACCTCAGGCTCTAAGAGCACCCATAACCACCAACCACCAGCATGTTTCTCCCATTAATATCCAGAAAACCAAACCTATTCAGCACTTGACCAACTCAGCACATCTAATCAATTCATAAGACCTTATCGGGCAATGAAAATGCAATAACATTGGCCATCGGTCACTCTTCATGGTGATCCTGATGTCACGCCCCCAAGAGGGTATATATAGAACAGGAGGCGGCACGCATGTGTACAGTTTGGCTGGACAGGCGGCTCAGTTCTGCTGGCAGCCATGAGGATACTTTCCATTCTGATACTGACCTGGGTCGTGGCACATCTCGACCAAGTGTCGGGGAAAAGGCGACTGCAGAAAGGACCCAAAAACAAAGGTCCTTGCGGCAAGCCCTATCTGCAGCAAGTCAACGGAAAATGCTACTACGTGAGCACAAAAAAGGTGAGTGTACTAGAAATAAACATCAGAGATCAGCAATGACATGTGATTCCCTTATTGCAGATTAACTGGTTTGGGGCCCAGAACAACTGCCTGCGCAAAGACCTCAACCTGGCAGACGTGGCCACACCGGAAGACTTCAAGGCGGTGACCGACTATCTGAAGTCGCAGTATGGCAAAGAGGACTACTGGATTGGCGGCAACGACCTGCAAAAGGAGGGTAAGTTCAGCTACATCAGCAACGGTGAACCAATGAACTACATGGGCGAGGACATCATGGTGGAGCCAACGGTTCGCTCCAATGTGGATGACTGCCTGGAGCTGAGAATCCGGACCAACACCACCACCATAATGGACGTAAACTGCCGCGATAAGAAGTACTTCGTCTGTGAGAACTCCCAGCTGAAGTGCGTCGAACCAACTGCCGATGAGAACGGTAACAACCACCACAGCCACGAGCATCTGCATCACTTCCACCACGATGCGGGCGAAAAGGAGCAGCAAGGAGCTGGGAAAGCGGACATGGAAGCGGATGAAAGCGAGTCGCGTCCACTTGACAATTCGAATTCGACGGAAATTGGCACATCGGATGAGAAGGGGTTGACAGAAGCAGGCAATGACACCACCACCGCGGTGGACACAGCATCAGAAGGTGTCACCACAGAAGCGGCAGCCCCAACAGAAGAAGCCAAGCCAACAGGAGAAGAAACCAAGCCGACAGGAGAAGAAGCCAAGCCGACAGGAGAGGAAACCAAGCCGACAGGAGAAGAAGCCACGCCGACAGGAGAAGAAGCCACGGCGAAAGAAGAAGCCAAGCCGGCAGAAGAAGCCACGGCGGTAGAAGAAGCCAAGCCGAAAGAAGAAGCCACGGCGGCAGCAGAAGCACCCGTTGCAAGAACAGCTCCTTTACCAGAAAGAAACTAACAAGAAGCAGGAACAACAACTACCCAAGGAGTTGCGGCAGTCACTGAGTGTCCCTGATGACTAAACGGAAGATCACCCCATCAACCGGACGGACTTTTATATATACACCTTAGGAATCGAATGACGGTTTAAGCTACCCAAGCAAGAGCAGAAGAGTTAAAAAAAAATATATAAAATAAAATTGGTATAAAGAAATTTAAATGGAGAAAAGCTATTTACTGGAAGAGCTGTTAGAGCCTTAATTAATGTGGTTTAAGTTGAGTTGACCAAATATTGAAAATATAAATATGGGTAGATACTAACACATGATTCTGTAGTGCAAAGATCAATTTAAAACTATTACAAGACATATTTCGAAATGCCAAGAGGTTTCCAATTAAAATCCAAGAATATTGAAGTAAAAAGAATGCTTTTTGTCTGGCTTAAATCACTGATAAACCCCACACATGGTCTGACAGATCAAAGTGTTGAAAAAAATATATAAGATGCTGCTACTAAAGATTGAGCTACGTAAGTCGGGTGAGGAATGTCTAGAGTATATATGTCGAAACAGCATTATCAACTAAGCTAATTTGGTGGAAAGTTCGCGATTCGGGTTACTTACATTTCGATGCATCTGTTTGGCATTGAGTGGGAACACAGATAATATTATTAAGTACATATAGCATATACATATATAAAGATTCGTTATAATAGAAAATAGAAGATGAGATGCCTATCTCGAGTGCCAATGCTTCACTAATACGCCTTCGAGTGGAATCTTTTGCAGAAGAATTTAACAAAGCTAATATATTCGATTGGTCTTTGGTTTTTTGCACCCACTTCAAAGAGCAAACATAAGTGTTCCATTTCGTTTCAAGGAATCTAACATCATAAAGCATAAGGCGAACACACAGCACCGCCAAAGAGTACATCTATATGTTCCTAGACTCTTGGCATGCTGTGCGAGTGTGCGTATCTAGGCAGCTATAATTATATATACGTATCATCGCTTTTGGGTGTGGGTTGTGACAGCGTAGTCCATTTGGAGCTACATATAAACTGCGCCATAATTGGCTTACGTATCATCCACATCGTCGTCATCATCGCCAGAGCCAGAGCCAGAGCTAGAGCCCAGCCAGAGCCACGGTAGCAGACAATTAAATATTTTGTTATTGCGACCCGTATCGGATCGAACACGCCCAACCCAACCCGACCTGACCCGGCCCCACCCCACCCCACCCCACCCCGTTCCATCCAGTCCCCGGTGGCCAGCTGCTCCAACTCCTTGGCTCCTTGCTCTGATGATGTAATTTGCTTCACTGCCGCACATCCTGGCTTGCAATGCTGTCATATGTTAGTTAACCACTATTAATTCACTCACTGCACACGCATATAGACGTGGTTATATTTCGGATGCATATATTCACGTGTCTACCCAAGATTTCTAATTTCAAAACTTTCACGTCGAGGTCGAAAAAGATTGCTGGTGGCTTTACCTGTAATCGAGCTGAACATGTTGCAGGTTTTATTTTTGGGTTTTTCTTTTAGAGTTCAAATGAGTTTTGACTAAGATCGAATGGGGGTATTCGAATAGTTTGTTCTGATTTATTTGTGGCCTGCGGTTATTTTTTTGGTATTTAAGGGCGAAGCGCGTTTATTTTTAAACGTCCGACTGCGTCGAGAGCACAGAAACGTATAACGTTTTGTATAAAGTCGAAGCGAAAGTAGCCGCCTCAGACCTGAACTCGCATCGCATCACACACAGAACACGAAGCGGCATTATTTTTGCTGTGTCTTTTTCTATTTTGTATGTTTTAGTTTGGAAATGTTGTTGTTCTGCTTTTCGGTGTGGAACCTGTTGGAGGTTGGCGCGCTCAACGCTGCCAGATTGAGGGAAAATGGTTGGAAAACAAGGAGGAAAATTAACACAGTATTAAAATGTCTTGTTCACGACGTTTTAAACTTCTTAAGAAAATTGTAATACTCTTCATTAATTATTTTAAGACTCTAGATTAAATTTTAAAATTTTATTACTATTTGCTGTGAGCAGAGAGCATAATAAACGTAAATAAATACTACCCACTTAATTATCTTTAAGGCTCTAAACCAAAACACGAAGAAAAGGTATACATTTAACAAGAACCACCATAAATAAAGAGATTAATTCACTTAAACGAATCTAAATTATCCCTGCAAATCAATTTTCGCACTTAAATAGGCCAGCTTACAAAGATGTGTACTGTTTTTAAAACAAAACACACTTTTTGCTACATTTCTGATGCTGATAAAATTAATTAATAAGAGCTCCTTTAAGTATCTATTCAAGAACGTACCACTGGAGTATATGGCACCTGGGTCCACCGATTTAATTCTGCGAGTTGAACAAGAAATTCATTTGCAGGACTTAATCAGGTAGAGAAAGCAAACAGCAGCTCGTAATTGTGTCTTTCCTATCCTTTAATTGTCCCCAAGAAAGAAGATAACCCCTATCTAGTTGGTATTACTTTCTCTTAGCGGTTTTTTCTTGGCTTCCGCTTTCAATTGCGATGCATATGCACGGCACTTGGTTTTGTAGGCCTGAACGAGTCGTCCGCCAGGTGAAATGGCTATTGTCACATGAATCTATAATAAGTTATTGTTATAGGTTAAGTACAAATTCATTAGTAAAGCCTTACCTCAAGGTATTGCAGCTCTCTTTCGTATTGCAAAGACTCTTCCAGTAGTCCCAACATGACCTGGAATTTGTCCGTACCCAGGATGTATGTCATTTCGCCAATATTCTGCTTATACCACTTGGCGTAGTTGTCTAAATTTGTCAGAATACACATGGTAGTGGCAGTAGCAGCCCGCGCTGTTAACAGCAAGTGCAGCAAAGATTTCAGGCAGCCTGAAGAGGCGGTTTGCAGGAGGCGGTTTTTTAAATGTTCTGCATTATAATAGAATATATGTATGTATAAATGGGATATAGAAGATCCTTCTTAAGGTTAAATACTTCTAATAAATGCTGAAGTTTCCGAGTTGGCAGCGCTGGCAATGGACTGCACTAGAATCAAATAGAACTTCCATTCCTTGAAATTTTCCATGTTCGACTGCTTGAAAAGAAATTGAAGAGCTTCCTGGTGATGGCAGGCAAAGAGCTGAAGTAAATTCAAGTTTATAAATGTTGTACTTTTTGTTATATGCAAATAAAGACCTTATCGCAGAGATGCTTCACAAAAGTTAGTTCATCAACGCCCTCGTTAATCCAGCCACTGAATTTTGCAAAGGCCTCTGTGATATCCTCTGAACGGTGCAGTTCCATCAGGGTACTTAAATGCATATTTCTGCAGACACTTAGGGCATCAGCTGGTAAAAAAGTTTTATACAATTGAAATAATCTGTTTTGGGTCTTCACTTACCTGGAAGATCTCGCCGCAAGGGTTCTACATAGCCCAAATTACTTATTTTTGGATTGTTCACCAGACCGGCATAGAGATTGCCCAGGGCAGCTGTTAGGATTGAGGTCAACTTTACACCGCACTCGACATCTGTCATTAGAAATTATAATATATATAATAAATAGTAGAAATCATTAATATATACACAAGGTACACCAACCATATGCCGCGGAAATAAAGACATTTGTGAGCAGCTCGAATTCGGATTCCAGAAAAATGATCAAGTCCACTTGCAGCTGCTCCGAGTGCTCCTTGCTGTGAAGATATAATAAAGATAAATAGGGATAACAAAGGAGTTTAAAACCCACCTAAGTATATACTCAGAGGCGGTGAGTATGCCGAGCTGCTGGAGCTGGAGTAGGACGCGGAAACTGCCCACATTGGCGGGCAACTGGCAAAAGAACTTGGAGGCCAATAGCTGGAAAGTTTCAATGTTTCATATAAATTATGTTAATAGCATTTAAATACTCACCCTTTCCTTGGCATTTAACAACTTAAGAAGCTCCACAAACTCGAATTTCTCCAAAGATCCCAATTGCTGGATTCCACATTGCTTTTTCAGGGTCTTCAGGCAAGCGAAACCAATAAACCAATGTCAGGGGCTCGGTTGTAAACAGGAAATGCCAGAGGACTTACCCTGCACACAAAGCCGAAGCTGTTGCCGATATTTGAGCAATTATTAAGGTCCCGCAAGGCATACATCTTAAAAAATAATTAAATAAACAAATTCAAAACATTTTTATGACCGCAAACTGATAATGTGACCGCAACCAGCGCGCCTAAAAATACCAAACGATTAAGCGATTTATTTTATGCTAATCGATTTTTGTTGTGTTCTTTGCTATCGATAAATTCACAATTTGAAAAATGAACGTTAAAAAAAGGTTTTGCTAGAAAATGTTATTTTATTTATTAAATAAATTGACCAATTAGAATAAACCTTCATTTAAGAAAACCATATTTGTTTACATGTTTTTTAGTTCCATTTAAGCTAAATATAATTTTAAAATAATAAAGTTTATACATATGCAAAAGAAAATTCGTTGTAATTCCTAAGATTAATTGAGTATATTAAGGCATTCTTGAGCATTTTAGATTGGAGATTCCTTAAACGTACTTAAAACTATATTTTCGAATGCAAATTGCATTTTTTAATTATTAATATTATTTATTTAACGCAGTAATCCTTGCGTTGCTGTCGTATAACCGCGTTTAGCTTGAGGCACTGCTGCCTCAGGGCATCATTGTCGCCCTTCAGGATCTCAATGGTCTCCTCCTGCCGCTGGATGGTGTGATGGACACGCTTCTGGAGCTGATCCATCTCCTGCTTGTGCCGCTCGCTCAGCACGGCCAGCTCACCTTGGATGTCCGCGTTAAGGTTGTCCCGCAGCCTGTCCCGCTCGCTGATGATGTCGCCACACATCTTCTTGCTGTGTCCCAGCTCCAGTTGAAGCTGCTTCACCTCAGCCTGGCTGTTTCGCACCTGGGCATCCGCCTCCGCCAGTTTGCCACGCGTCTCCGCGTATTTCTCCCGCAGCGACTTCTCCACACTCTCGGCCAGTGCCAAATCCTTCTCGTACTTCTCCTTGAGGCGACTAGATAAGAAATGTTAAAATACCTTTATTTTTCTTTCTTTTAATAATTTACTTACGCAATCTTCTGCTCGTGCTCCTCGCCATGCTGCAGTGCATCGGCTTCCATGCGCACCACCAGCTCGTCCAGCTGGCGATCCCTCTCCGCCCGATAGTGCTGCCGAATGGCATTCTCCTTCTCCGCCTGGGCCAGCTTGGCCTTGTTCTCGTGCTCCGTCTTCCACAGCTCAAAGTCCGCCTGGTACTGCTGCTCAATGGTGTTGATGCGGTTCTGGTACTTCTCCTCCTGCTTGGCCATGCGCTCCTGCATCTCGAACTTGGCCTGCTCTAGTTCTTGCTCCTGTTCCCGCAATGCCTCCTGGCGGCGCACCTGGTGATCGGACTCCCGCTGCCGGAGCTCTGACTGCAGGCGCTCCCGCTCGGCGGCAAACTCCTCGGCCATCTTCTGTCGCTGATCAGCCTGAGCCCGCTGCTCCTCCTCCAGCTGGCGTTCGAATCGCTCCCGAATGGCAGTTCGCTCCTTCTCGATTACAGCCTCGCGATCCTGTGCGCAACTCTCGCGGATGCCCGTCTCGATCTGTTCGTGCTTGGTGCGCGCTTCTTCCAGGGCGTCGAGTAGCTGCATCTGGTGGGAGCGCTTTAGCTCGGTGACCTGTCGCTGGTGGTCACAGGTCATCTTGTTGATCTCCGCCTCCAGGCCCTTCACCGTGAGCTCCTGGAAAAGATTAAAGCTTAGATAAAGGAAATAAATCGGTTTAAAGCTCCATTACCTTGATCTTCTTGGTATTCTCTCGCACCCAACGCTCTCGTCGGATTTTCTCGCCCGCCATGGTGGTCTCTTTTGTCCTTGTCAACTCCGTTTCCAGGCGGTGCTCCCAGGCCTGATTCTGGCTTTCTAGTCGACGGGTTAGAGCGGCCACCTTCTCGCAGAGAGAGCCCTTGTCCTTGAGCAGTTGCTCAATGAATCCCTGGTGCCGGGTCACCACCTCCTCGTAGTGCTTCTTCTGGTCCCTTAGCTTGGCGGCACCATTGGACTTCTCGGCCCGCAGGCTCTTTTGCTTTTCGCCACGCAGCTGTATTACATGCTCCTTGGACATGTGGATGGCATTGGCCAGCTCATTGGCCCGCAGGCTTAGAGCAATGACCCTACGGGCCAGCTGGTGATTTGGCAGCATGAGCAGCTCAGATAATCTGGATGGGAGTAAGGAATATAGCTTAAGAATTCTAAAGAGAGATTTGATTGATGTACGCACTTGGGAACCTCATCGGTGACATCGGGCTCCACCACAAACTCCACCTCGGATCGAGTGCTCTCCGGAATGGAGCGACGTGTTTCCATCAGCGTTTTGTCGCAACTGCTCTCCACATTGTTCAGATAGGCCAAGATGTCTCTGTGGATTAGGATTTCACTCGAAATAAGTTGTATATAAATCCAATCTTTACAATTACTTGTATTTATCTCCACTCTCGGGAACTGCTCCCTCGCTAAGGGTCACGGTTTCAGCGGTCTCACAACGCGAGTCCAACTTTAGGTTAAGTTCACTGGGAATTCTCTCGGAAAAGTTGTCTGAAAACATTTTTTTTTAGTAGGAAGAAAGAAATATGTCCCACCAAATACTAACCCCTCTTCTTGTCCTCCTCAATCTCTTTAATGACGGACACGATCTCATCGTAGGTGGAGTCCCTGGAGTCTTCATTCGACTTCAGGGAGATCTGGGAAGCACTGTCATTGTCCTGAGCCTCGTCCAGTTCCTCCAGTCCCTGCTTGTCCTTCTGGTCGAACTGCTTCTGCTCCTGCATGCTCATCCAGCTGTCCACCTTGTCCAGATTGTATTCAGAGAGCTTTCGCTCCTCCCTTAGGCTGCCCACACTGATAGCCTTCTTCAGCTTTCCCTGGGTAACAGTCGCCGTACTGCCTGTCGTCTTGGGCGTCGGCTTGGCCTTGCTATTCCGGTTAATGGGATCCGCACTGGCCGGCTTCACGTTCTCCTTTTTCTTGCCCACAAAAGGAGGAGCCGAGGCCACCTTGAGGTAGTTGTTGATGACCGAGTCGGAGCTGGTGGTACCAAAGGATCGCCGATCCTCCTGCACGGCGGGCAGGAAATTGTTTTCGGCTCCAAAGTTCCTTGGATTGGAAGTTGCTCGGTAGGAGGTGCCACTGTTGTTGGCAGAAGTATTGCTGGAGGAGGAGACCAGGTTCTTGGTCTCGGACAGATTGTTTTGCTTCTCCTTCGTCGGAGAGCCGTACTTGCCCATATAATCCGGCAGGGGCTCGATGTTATTTAGGGGCTCGGATCCCAAGTGATTCTTCACCACCTGGACACTGCCCACAGCCTGCTTGTACTCCCTGATCACATTCAACTCCGGCGTGGGAGCCTTTTGGAGGCTGGAAGTAGGAAGTGGAATAGGAGCTTCCAATTGGGAACTGACCTCCGCAAAGCGACAACTTGGAGCATCACAAGCACACTTGAGTTCCGCCGCCGAGGCCTCATTGGTGCTCGTCGTGGAAGAGGATCGCGTGCTGCAGGTGCAGTTCTCCGAGGGACACTTGGGATACTCGTAGGTCTCCGCCAGGACCTCTCCCTCGGCGGCAGTGGAGCCAAAGTGGACTGACTTCTTCTGCCCAGTGGGATCCGTCGATTCCGTCTGTTTGCTCAAAAAGCTGGGAAGAGTTAGAGGACCCGGAGCAGAGATGCTAGGACGTGCCTCCTGCTTGTCATTGTCGCAGTCACTGGAGTCCAGGTCGTTGTGCATATTCGGCTTGCTGAAGGACACCCTTCCCGGAAGATCAGGCTTGGCGGTGCGCTGGAGCAGAGCTCCATTACTAAGGCCCTGCTGCTGGCTTGAGTAGGAGCTGTACGATAACTTACCCTTGTCGCTGCTCGACATGGTGACCAGGAACCGGTCCAGCTGCTGCTCCCCCTCCTCGCTGCTGTCGGGGGTGCGTTTGTGCAGCGAGAAGTCCGACTCGGAGGAGTTGCAGGTGCTGCGGCACAGCCAGCTCCGCTTGATGGGCTCCCCAAGCAAAGACTTTAGCAGGTCGTTGGAAGAGACTTGTCTCTGGAAAGGATGGATTGGAAGTGCATTCTGGTTACCTAAGCCCAGTGCTACAACTTACCTTGCCGCTGAGCCGGAGCTCCTTGTCGGCAAAGTAGCTGCTCTGCCGGCGACCAAACTTGGGATCCGCGGACTGAGGTCGCCCCAGGAAGGGCGAGGAGCGACTGCGCTGCTGCAGGAAGTTCGCCGAGCGGGGCCGGAAGTGGGGACACGGATTGTGGAGAGTCGTCAGCGAGCGAGTGGTGTACTTCAGCTTCGTTTTCTGTCGTGTGGCGAGGTTTATCTGAGGACAGACTTCAGGAGGTAATCCTTTTTGGGGTGAAGTGGGGTCATGGCACCTACCTGCGAGCCCTTAAGACATAAATCCATAATAGCTTACGATTAGGCACTCATCTAGATACTCTCTGAACCAGACTGCCCTGCCATAGCCTGCTGATTTCCGAAAGGCACTGCCGGCCGAGTCCTGGCCCAAGCTACCTGCCGAGTGGATTGTTTTGGCCAACCACCACCTGACATATCGATTAAACGCATGTGCCGCCCTGCCGTGTAAGGGTCAGGAGCAGGACGACGACAGATGTTGGTCAGCGGCGCTGCAACCCTCGAAAAAACAGGCGGTCGCGTGTTGACATGGTTACTACTTACTTGCCACCCTCCCCCGTCGCGGAACAGGTGTCGCGGCATGATTCACCCACCCAACCCCGACTCCATTGAATTATTATTTTATTATTAATTGTGTCCAACATGTAGAGATTTCTACACAATCAATCACCGACTATCGACAGCGGCAAACCTGCCGAATCGAAGCAATTAATCACGGAAGGTAACTGATTGCGACTAGAGCATATCGCAGTGAAGGTCATCACCTGAGGCTTCGGGGGTTCAATGCTAGACATTGTAGGCAAACACTTTCCGTTTTCATTCACAGCGAGTGTGCGAATGTGCTCGCTGAGCTCGTGGTCTTAACATTCTTTGATAGACTCTGATAGCCCCTAGACAGGGTCAATATCGCCTGCTTAAAGTGGCTTTAGGCACACAAATAATTCTGACAACATATTTTGAATACTTTATAAATAAGTTAAGGAACCCTGGAATCAAAAGCTCATTTAACAAAATAAAATTAAAAACAATAACTAAGCTACTTTGAGTTCTGAGACAATATTTTCCCACCAGTTACAAGTACACCTTTTTGTAAACAAAAATAATGATATCTTTGTGGAACAAGCTGAAGTGCCTCCAGGGAAAGTAAACAGAATCAAGCACCCTTGTCGCTTTTACAATTCAAACTCCAGACCCATTTTCAATAATAATAATTTATTTAAATAAAGCAAATGGTGTCTATTGCAATAAACGTAGTTTGGTTTTGCAAGTCCCGGCAAACAACAAATGTTGGGGACTCGGCCTCAACAGCTGGCGACCTCTCTCCACTCTCTCCATACTCGATACTGACTGATGCGCGAAAGCATAAAATTAAATTTGGCAACATTTCTCGTAATCAACTTAGCAACTAACACAAAATACAATACAATAGTTGATGGTTTTCTCTTGTTTTAACAAACAAATTGCACTACTCCTGATCCATTCAATCTGATCCTTACTCCGCGCGCAAGGCTGGCGTCACCTGGACATCATCGTTCTGCTCGTCGCTCTTGATGTCAAACTTCAGCTTGGCCAGCTCCTTGAGCTCTCCATCGGCCTGTGAAGGGCTGCCTTCGGTCACTACCTTAACGGTGTCGGGATAATTGTTTTCGCCGCCACCCAGCTCCTGGGAGAAGCTGACCACTGTCTTGGGCTCGTAGTTTACTCCTAGGGCGCCGCTGGGATCTGGGGAAGGTATGCTGGGGCCATCGCTGCTGTGACCATTGGTCTGTCCATTGGTGTGGGAAATGGTGATGGCCTCTTCCTCCTCCTTGTGTCCATTTGTGGCTGGAGTTTCCTCCTCCTTTTGGCCGTTTGTTGCCGGGGCAGCTGGCTCTACCACCTCCACCTGGGCCTCCACCGGAGCGGGGGCAGATGTGGGTGCCACGGCTACGGGTGCTGCCTCTACAGCCTCTGCCTCTAGCTCTGGTTCTGCTTTCCTCTCAGCCGCCACTGGAGCTGATTCTGGGACAGCCACTGGAGCTGGTTCGGGAGCTGCTTCCACCTCTGCTTCCTCCTCGCCAGCCACAGCCTTGTTGACCTCCTCAATGGCCTTGGCCACCTCCTCGGGAGCCACATCAGAGCTTTCCTCCTTCGAATGTCCATTGGTGATGGCGACTTCCTCGCTGTGCCCATTGGTTACAGGTTCGGGTTCGGGTTCGGTGATCAGAGCAGAGGTGACAACAGCAGCCACCACGGGCTGTGGCTCCTGCTCCTTCTCCTCCTCTACCTTCTCGGCCACCGGGGCGGGGATCTCAAGGGCTGGAACAATGGCTGGGCTGGCCATGGTCTCCACAAAGGAGGTGCGGTTGGGCGAGTCTGGCGAGATCATGACGTGCGTGAAATAGCCACTGCGCCGGTTCTCAAAGTCCAACACATTCTCCTTGGCCAATCGCTCCTGGATGCGTCGCTGGCGTCTGATGAACTCCGGCACATCGGCGTCCTCCGAATCGGCGGGTGTGGGTGACTCCGCCAGCTTGGGGCGTCGCAGCACGACCTTAGAGGCTTCGTTCTCGCCGTCAGAGGTGCCGTTGCCATTGCCATTGGTGGCCCAGGTGGCGGTGCCATTCGAGGGCTTGAAGACGCCATTGAACTTGGTGCCGACGATGAATTTGTTGTTGTTATTATTGGCCACATTGCTGTTGGCACTCTTGTAGGCATTGTAGTTGTTGGTGGCACTCGGCTGGGGCGACAGCGCATTGCCGTTCTCCTCGCCCTTGGCGGACTTGGAAATGGTAAAGTTGGGCTTGCCATGGCTGATCAGCAGCTTGGTGGCCGGCGAGGGGCTCTTGTCCGGCAGCGGCGAGGGCAGACCGCTGCGGATCTGTATGCTGGGCTTGTTGTTGATGGTCTCGGCCATGTCTGTAGTGCTGGGGGATCTGATCTGGTCGCTGGCGAAGCTTTTACTTTCCGTTTCCGTCACTCGTAACGGGTCTCTGCCGGAGAATAGAGGAGAAACAAAGCAAATTAATAAAACATTTAAGAGATGGCAAAAAAGGTAAAAAAAGCAAAATAAATTAAGTCACTCGTTTTCAATCATGCTAATTTTTGGCCATAATAATTTGGGGTGAAAAGAGAGCTGGCAGCTGGCGGCTCTTGGCTTAAATAAATATGTAAACTGTATACTGAGGGAAAATTACCAGCTAATTGCAACAATTTTGTTTGATTAGGTGAAACCTATGGTTGATTAGTAGCGGAATAATATCTTATCTCAGAGCCCTTAGCGACGATTAACTGCTCCCCTTAGGGCTAAAAGCCAGTCAAGTTTTTAGTTTGTAACTACTTCAGGCGATTTAGGAATTTTTATGATTAGATTTTACAGATAGGGTAAAAGTGAGTCATATTTTATAGTTCAAAGAATTTCTCCGAAAAGGTTATGCATACTTTTGGCCAACTGATGAATGGTGAGTCATTTAAACAATTGATAATGCAAGGGAGGTTTCTTTAGATTCAATCAGGAATATTTAAGAATATTCAATTATCAGATTAATTTCGGGAGTTTTTTTAGGTTTAATCAAGAATATTTAAAAATAAAATACACATACAATTTCTTCAGAGATAAACACCTTAGGTTAAGCTTAAGGGTCCATTCTGGTTAGTTGGGCCAAAAAATAGGTCATTTTCAGAAATTTTTTGTGGACAAACGAAAAGACATAGAAAGTTCAAACTTGTCATATATATTTATCATAGTTTAAAGATTATTTAGCAAAATTTTCAAAAATTTGTAGAGCATGTCCTGAAGCAGGACACAGGGCGACGTAAGCCCATGCCCAAAAAAGGCACCCCTCTGGCGACCATCCTGCAGGACGTAAAAATCGACTGAAACAAAAAATTCAAATATGTTCTTGTTTAGTATTAAGGTGGTTATGGAATAGGCTACTTTTTTCAAAATTGAATAAAAAATAAGAAAATGGCGGCGCCTCAAAAATTTTTTTTCTCTTTTTTTGAAAAATTTCTTCACTTTTTTGTTGATTAAAAATCCAATGTTTGAGCTATCAATATAATTGTAGCCTATTCCATGGACACGTTAATTACGCGTATTTTAAAAAAAAATTCATTAAGATTCATTAAAAATTGACGGAGATATTATGGTCGCCAGCTCGAAAAATGTAGTTTTCCAGAAAACGCGTTTAAAGTTTTATGTTTCCTCTGTAACTGCTTTGAGTCGGCCGGTTCGGAGGCTCATAACTTTTAAACTATTACGTATTTCGATTTGCCCTTTTAGTATGATATTCTAGACACCTAAAGCTATCAAAAAATGCAAAAAAAAAAATTCGATTTTTTTTTTTCAACTAACCAGAATGGACCCTTAATTCAGTTGTGTTAAATCAATGCCATGCTACTTCCTTGGGACTCAATAAAGAACTGATTTTTCAAGATCAATCTGAATACATTTGCTTTAAGTTCTTAACAATTTCCGTTCTAATTGATTAGGCAACTTTAAAAAATGATTCATTGAATATTTGCTATAGATATTTCTCTTCTCACTGACTGACTTTTGCAATCAGAAACTTGCAAATTATCCATTCGCAATCGTTTCACACACGGCGTATGCGTAATTACGCAACACAGTACGTCCACAGGCAATGACAGTGCCAGGGTCAGCTACTTACTGTCCCCACTGTTGCCTATTGTGAGACCCCAAAACAAACAAACAAACATACGTATTCGTTGATTGCTGATAGAGGTAAACTTGCTTAAATATCAATTAGATCGATGGCTAGGGTTTGTCCAAGTGAAATGGAACGTCTGGCGCTAGAATCGAATCGAAGCCACCGGACAAACAGCTAATTGAGTGCCGGATGGCAATCCGTTTTCCCATCATCAGGCCCCATGTGACACCGCAGATACCAGGGGCTACAGCTGATCCAGGCCCATCAGTTGACCAACGCACGTATGGCGATCGGAACTGATACCGATACAGGGGTACCGATACTGATACTGATACTGATACGATATGCGATATGCGTTGCAAACGGTTTCGTTGTCGAGCCAATTCCATTAGCATTTCCCCCTCCCCACAGACCTCGAAGGAGGGGCAATTTAATTAAGAGCTGCAATTTATAGAGCTTTGTGCACTCGTAAATTCCAGACGCGTTCAATTGCCCCGCTAAAGGTCAGTTCTCGGCTCAGAGTTTTGCTTTTGATTTCTGCCCTGTGATGATGATGATTACTCGATTGCTTTACGATGTGTGCTACGAATTATTTCAGAGCCAAGTCAAGTTCAAACAAAGCGATTAGGGTAATGAAACTGTCTAGAAAATCGTTAAAGGGTAGAATATTAATAGCTTCACTGAGAAAAAGGAAAGATTTACAAAATGAAAATGCTTTGTTTAGTTCAATAAATGAGTTTTTTTAAAGAATTAAAATGGAAGTTATTAAACAATAAACCTTACAGGATGTTAGACATTATCAACATGTTGCTCTATTGTGTTGCTCAACATGTTTCTGGCAACACGTTTATAGCAACATTTTTTCTTGTACATTTTCCCATGTTATATTTAAGTTTTTACACTTGGTAAACCATTATTAGACCATACTTAGAGCATGTAATTTGGGATATAACTTGTTCCTAATATTTTTATTAACTGGTTTTTAATGAAAAGATTTCTATCTATTATAATAGGTAGAACTAGAATCTCGACAAGTCTTTAAATAATTATTTCTTTTAATCTATAGTATAACTATTCGTATATTCCCTAATATCAATGTGGAGACATATTCTTAATATTAATTCGTATTATTTATCAAAGTTTAATACTTCGCCCAATCCGCTTATTAATTAGTCACCTCACCAGTTCCTAACTTTCGGTTAATCTCTTTAAAATTCTACCCAGTCACGGAGAGTATAGCCTCTGCCTAGTTTTATAATTGACACACTGACTTAATTATTCATCGTTCTGGCCAGCAATCCGGAGAGTGAACGTGCGTCAGTCGGCATGGAGTTTATAACGTTTTTTCCCTTAACCCATGACAGGCAATTAAAGAAAATAAAAACAGTGTCTGAAGCTGATAAAGGCGAAACGAAAACGAATTTATAGCCCGAGACACTGGTTATTTGCCGAATGTTTCAACTCTGCCGCCTGTGCCGAAAGGCTTAAAACCGCGCAAATGTTTGTTTTTATGAGCTGGGCGGGAGTGTTAATTGAGCGCAACTGGGGATGAGATCTCTGGCCGGCACATACATAATTCCAAATAACAATATTTTGTTTTCGCCGCTCTCTGTTATGACTATTTGTACAATATATTTTTCCCACTCGGTTACCCGGCGCCATCGACCAATTTGGCCTTGAAATAGCTGCTGTGAAGTGCACAGCCTGGTTATTTTCGTTAAACAATTTGCATAAGGTGAACGAGAATGGAACACCATTGAGAATGAGCTTCGGTTTGGCACTCACTTCAAGCTGGGAACCACCTTATGCGAATAACAAATCAATTTCGAGTGTGTATTAGACTTTATAAATTACTTTTGTATTATTATTTTGCAACTAAGTTTGAGATATGTGTTTAGAAATATTTTTGTAGCAAAGTAATGCCTATTTTAAATTTAATTTAATTCTATTTCATGAAAGTTTTTGCCACCTTTTGTTGCTCTGAAAACGAAAGCATCTAGACACACATAATATTCCCCACAATACCCATGGGGGATTGGCAACTTTCTTATAAACAAAATACAAATACAATACACATTTCACCCAAATTCTTTGCATCTTCGAATTCAGGGTGTGAATTGAGGGGCCGAGATAAAACCTTCGGGCCATAAAAAGCTTTGCTTTGCCATAGAAATTCGATTTGGTAGGAGTCCCCTTTCAGCTGAGTTGCGTGAGATCGGTGCGTCTATCACAGCGAAGATCAAATTAGTTTCTCGGCTGCCTTTTCCTGAACCTTTTTCGGTTTGGAGGAGGTTGTGGTTGCTGGCAAACTCGGTCAGATCAGTGGGAACCGAGAAACGGCAATGCGAGTACAACAATTGCAGTCAGTCTCTGGCTGGGAACTTGGCTAACTTGGCCAAGAGCTGTTGCTGCCACTGCCATTGCGGCTGCCATAAATATCAGTCGAAAAAAAGGGTGCCATGGGTAAGGGTAATCTTATCGAAGACATGAGATTGCCATTGCCAAAATCGGAGCTCACGGCTGATAAGAGCCGAGCAGCAGCAGCCAGCCAGCATAATCCGAGGCGGCGATAAGGCATGCACCGGGTGCCTATTACCCAATCATGTGATTAAAGCCAAAAGAAAGTGAAATCAGTGGCTGGCATGAAGAAAGGCATCAAGCGGAGACCGAGTTCAAGGTACGACGATGGATCCAGCGAGAGTGCTTTTGCCGCCTGGCCGCATAATTAGTTGTAAATATTTTTCATACGTTGGCGCTGGGCAATTTATGGGGATTTATGGTTATGTGCTCGCTCGTGAAAGCTACACAGAACCAAAAAAATAGTATGGAAAGTCAATGGGGAAATCATAAATATTTCCTTATTTAAATTCCATTATAAATTGAAAATGATTTATTTTCTGTGTGTGCTCTGTACTCAGGAATTTAGCCACGACCCCCGGATCATTGAGTTTATATAGAACGTGTTAAAGATACGCGTCAATTCGATATAGTCGGGCTATTTTAACGGCCACAAATGTCAAAGTCACGAACGTTAAGCGGCTTTTTCGCAGTGGCCAACGCGGCGTATGAGCAATCGTAAGGAGCTCAGGCAATATTTACACGTTTGCAGGTTTTTCAAAAATACCTAAACACTCACACACACAGATATGATACTTTTTGGCACTAAAGTTGGCTATATGTAGACGCACCTATAATAACAGGCTAACTGTTTTTTGTCGTCCGCTGCGTTACCGTAAAACGCCGAAACGTAACTGAAAACTGAACGCTGGAAGCGAACCTGACCAACTTCGGAGTTCGGACGCCTGGAGTCGGCTCGGTTATCGCTCTGCTCGTGCGCATATAGCTATATGGCTATATGACTCGTATATTGTGGCAAAATAAATACAAATACGAATGCGAAAAAAAAAAGAAATACCTGAACGGCGAACGAGAAAAGCTGTTCGCTGTTGGCGCTTAATAGCCGCTCTGAAATGCCCTGGAGGCGCCCCCCGTCCGCGTGAAAGGTGAGCTCGCCCCCTCGAGAAAAACGCTGTCCCCTCTCTGACCAATAGTTGTGTGTACATTACTTAATTGCTGGCAAATTATGCATCATCTGGACGAGCGGTGGACAAAGTGGACACTTCCGACATGGCCGAAAAGCGAAAAGAAAAGCTCACAAACGATTATTTCTGTAAATATTTAACCAATTTTGGGTTTACACGTGCTGCTGTTGCTTCTAAAGATCATGAATATGAATTGATACATTGGGATTATCTCTTAATATGCTCAAGAAAAGGGTACAACTTGAATTATAGAGAGTAGTACTAGGTATTTTACTAAGGGAACACGTATATTTACTTCCAGCGGAGTGGTTATTCAATCGGACTGAGATTATCCATGGCTTGGCTTTATGGCCCCTGCAATTATGGCGTTTATTTATAGACCAGTTATTAACCAGCAAACCCGTTTGTGGGGCTCCTCAACTAACTTTGGAGGGTCTTTTAATTAAAGTAGTAATTGAAGAAGACCCCGAGAGTCTAGTCTTATCTCATATAAACCATAAATGTCATAATAAATATTTTATCATTATTTCAACAAGGCCAAAAAACGTGCAGTTCTTTTATAAGTTAAAGTCAACAAGAGTTGTTTTGATTTTTATGGATATATAACTGGAAATAGAGGTAACAAGCCAATATTTATTTAGACTTAATAAATGCTTCTAAGTCCTACAAATAAAGCCATATTTTGGGGATATTTGCCTATATGTTTGTTTTATCTATTTTTCTGAAATCAGAGTTGATAAGGTCTAGGAATTTCCTTAAACTTTTTAAGATTTCTGTCCTTTAAGCAAACTATCTTCTTGAAGAAATCTTTCAATGACAAGATAGAGTTCAGCTTATCAAAATTCTTTAAATGAAAACTACCTCAAGTCCTTGACTTCTAAACAATTTCCTTGAACTATATTTCACACTTTTTCAGTGCCTCCTGAACTAGGGGCATAAACACTCGAGTTACCAAAAAGAAAACAACAAACTAAAAAAAAACTACACACGCGAAGCCATATCGGTTTGATAACATTCGCCAACATCGAAATTTTACGAGTTTGTGTTCGAATGTGTTGTGTTTTTTGCTGTCGCCGTTTGATTATTTCGCTGATAGCGAGAGCAAAGTGTATTTGCTATTTACACGATTCTGTGGTGGGCGCCCTAATGCGAGGCTTCCGCGCAAAGCTCTCCAACTCCAAGCCGATTTTCCCCCGTGGGGTGCTGCAGGGCGGCCATGAAAATCGCGAGGGAGTGACGGCAGCAGCGGAATGGAGCTGGCTGGAGCAGAGCATAAAGTGGTCTGGAGAGGAGACTTGGAGTGGGCAAAGCCGTTTGACTTGTGCGCTGCGCCTGCGGGGAGTGGCTTTGGCCCCAAAAACGGAATGAATATGCCCCATATACATACATGCTCCGAGCCGTCATAAGGCCAGGAAAAACTGGTAAGTCGGCACTGAGAAAAAATCAAAGGCAAGTGGGTCAATCGTTATTGGAAGGTTTTTAACGGCTCAAAATTAAGACATTTTATTTTAAAGTCTTTATAAATACCAAAAGATAAATTAATATAAACACCAAAAACTCACAATGAATACAAAACTGAAACTTTTAAGTCAAGAAGTTGACTCTTTGAAAGTAAAATAATAACTAAACAATTATAATTTCTTTGCAAATGTATTTTAAAGTTTTTAAAGTCTGACTCAAAATAAATTATTTAATCAACATTAAGCTTATAAGAAAGAAAAAAAAAAGAACATTTCCAGCTAAACTTATGATTAATATTACTATTTACTAAGTTAATAAATTCCAGCTTATATTTGTTGTATTAATACTCGGAATATTTGTTTAATTTTGATAAAGTATTTCTGTATTAACAAGAGATTACTTTAAATACAATATTATTTGTAAATTTATTATCAAATTATTTATTTCTTTGTAACTTTATGAATATCAATAAAAAATATATATATATTAGTTCTTCTATCAAAATTACAGGAAACTAACTTTATTTTCGTATTTCATTAGCTTGATTGCTGATTATTTCTCTCTGTGTCGCGACCTGTTTTCGACTAGCGGAGCGGAGGAAGCCAGTTTCGGCCAGTGGCCCACCAATCGATGTGCTAATTACTGGGACTCCAGAATGTGCCACAAATGCCAGAGCAGCGAGAATGTCAGAATTTTTTTGGAATTCTAAAAACTTCGCTTCCATGCGAGCTGGCGCGATGTTTGCACATCATTACAATTCCGCCGTCGAGTGCTTTATTTTAATGATCTATTTGCGAGTTGAGCGGTTGAATAACACAACGCTAATTGACACTCACACTTGAGCCTCCTCCTCCGATTTTGATTCGGAATGGGAATCGCAATCGGAATCGGTATAGTAACCTTGACAGAGAAAATTTCCAATTAACGGCGCTTGCCAATTTGCGTACACTGCGCGCAAAAGAGACACGCAAAAAGTGGCACACTCCGGCTCCTCGCTTTTAAGGCTCATTATTAATTATTTTCGTTTTGGCGAGAGCAATTATGCTACATAATGGCAGCGGCAGTTAACTAATTGGGTCGTTCACTCCGAGGAGATACAAAAAGATGGAGAAAGAACCCAAATTCTGGCGACTGCCGGCTGGCGGCTGCGTGATCGGTGTTGTCTTATCGGGGCATTATGGGGAATTGGTTTGGAAAAAACACACATTGATTGGCTTTGGCTTGATTATATGCACAATAAATATATATACAAGAGTCGATGACTTGTTCACTTCTGTCAGCTTTCCATTCGTTTATGGTAAATTGCTGGGCGCTGCTGCCAATTAAATTAGAAATTGTTGACCAGCCGAAAACCAAAAAGTTTGGTCGTCTGTCGCTGCTTGTTTTGCATAAAAAATTACAACTTGGACACACAAAACGAAACATACAAATTGTTATTGTTGCTGTTGTTGTTGCTGTTGCCTTTGGTGCACGCGGTGTTAAAACTTTCGAATCTGCTCGGTTCGGGATCGTGTTTGATGGCGCAAAAACGCTCTGCACAGGCGCGTAACGTGTTTTCAACTGAGCCCAGCAGCTTGCGAACGCGATCGCGGGCTCAACGCGCTGCCGATCAGCAGCAACAGTAGTAGCAGCAGCAGCAGCAACAATGCCAGCTTTAATGAATGAAAGCGTAATTTTTCCAGCCGCTTTTGTTGGGGCCAACAATGTGCAGTTTTTGTACGCCGGCCACACAATGCCCGTCCTTTGAGTTCGCACACAAAAGACGAGCAAAACAAAAGCCAAGAGATCAGTCAAAACAAACATAGCATCGGGCAAACCGAAATTCCTGTTTGAATTCGATAGCGTTAATGATATCGATGGCTTGGATATCGAAGAGGCATGAACGAAAAGTCTGGCAGCACTGGTGTGTTGCCAGTATTTTCAATGCCTGGGTGATGTATCAGATGTGGTTCGAGCATCAGCTGTGGATTTTTTAGGGGGAAATTTCAACTTTTTGAGATTTTTTAGGAAGAGAGCCAAACTTTTAATCTGGCGACACTGTTCGACGCGACGCGACTCACGAGAAAAACAATTGAATTTTTTTAGCAATTTTATGAGTAAAATTGTCTGACGGCATTTGCAACGCTTTCGCCGGAAAAGGCGCCACCAGATGAGTGGCGCACGCATGTGAAAGATGGCTTTGAATAAACGGATTAACCCGAACCCGGACGCCCTAGCGGGCGTCGCAGAGCTAAACTACAAGTTTGCGTGTCGCTGCTGCCTAAAAGTGGACGCAGAGTTCATTAAGCTAGAATCGGTGTCGGTGGCGCGTAGCCTGGACCCAGAAAGCGAAGAGGATAAAATTTCGCTCCTGCGATGCCTTCTCTTCTGCGTGCGCGCCGAGAACGCGGCGGAGCTGCCGCAGTACATTTGCGTTGAGTGCAGCAAGAGCCTGCAAGTCGCGTACTACTTCCTGCAGAACGCAGTGCGTGCCCACGAGATCCTTTGCCGCAAGCTGTGTCCCGGCAAGTTATGGAACGCGGAGGGCAGGCGCTTCAATGGGGCTTTGAGCCAGCGCTTGCAGCCATCGCCATCGCCGTCTCCGAAGGAGGTAGGTGTCGGGCAGGCGACGGGGGTATGACGCATTGGGTCTACAGCGCCTTTCTCTTTGTTTACTTTCAGACGGCGACTTCGGGGGACAGGACGAGGCCCCTGAAGAGCATGCGGCAAGAGTGCCAGGTGTGCGGCGGTATCTTCCACAGTCGCATGGAACTCAAGCTACACCTCCGCCAGCACACAGGTACAGTCTTGGGCGGCCACCATACCATGTACTGGTCTTAATGCTGAGGGAAACCCACTTTCCCATATTTTCTTTTCTTATATTTTTGAAGACGGAATTACCTACCACTGCAAGATGTGCAATTTCACCACGCTCAAACAGCGCCAGCTGCTGGACCACTATCGCTGCGATCACGCCATGACCCCCAGTCAGGCGGAGGAGCACGTTAAGGCGAGTCCACTGCCGATATCTCCCATTAAGGAGGATGAGGTCAAAGCAGTGTGCACGCTGGAAGACATGGAGCTGCTTATACCCACGGTGCTCACGCCGGACGACTACGCTCAGCCCCCGATTGACTCGGAACAGCTGCGCGACCTCGATCAACAGCTGGCCGCCAGTATGGGCGACGCAGTGACCGGAGTGGACACCCTCACATCCACATTGCCGCCCATGGACGCGCACAATGTGAGCATTGGCACAGAGTATCTGGTCCTGCCGGATGGATCCCTGCAGCAGGTCAACGGAGGCGGTAGGTTTCCGAGAATGTAAAGTGCCTGTGTAGATATTAAATTTCTTCTTTTTACTTTGCAGGCGTGGTCATTGAGTACATTGACGACAGCAAGACGCAGGCACCGCCACCAACTCCTTCCAATCCTCCGCACATCAACATCAGTTTGCAAAATCTCCTCGGCAACCACGACGAAAACGAGGGAATGGACATCGATGTCAACGAGCTAATCGTCGAGGACATGATGATACATAAACCCACTATTTCCACTGCAGTTCCCAATCCACCCAAGCCAAAGCCAGTCATTGGCGTATCCCCAAATTACAAGCACAAGTGCAGCATATGCCCCAGAATGTTCTCCTCTGTGGCACGCCTGAAATCTCACCAGTTGACCCACAGCAGTTAGTTGACGCTTCTAGCAAATGCGAGAACCCAATAACCACATTCTCTTGTCTTTGCTTCAAACAGATTTGCCCAAGTTCTTCTGTGACCAGTGCAACTTCTACTCGCTGCGCAGCGTTGATCTCATCGAGCACTACAAGACTACGCACCACCGGGTGGATGAGAACGGTGCGACCAGCCAGGACCCAGCGCCGGGGTCAGAGGAGACGGGCGTCTATTCGTGCGACATGTGCCTCTTTGAGACGCGCACCTGCAGCCAGTTGAGGGTCCACTACACAGAGGGACACGCGATCCAGCCGACGGAAGTGCAGCTGCGTCCCAGTTGGACGAACAATAAGACAACCAAAATGGAGCAGCAATTGTCGGGCAGGCAGCCAGAGCCCGCCGACCTGCCGGTGGCCATTAAATGTGAGTTATGAGAATGGAAAACGAAATGGGGATTCAAACTGCATATTGCCGGTATTTCGGGCTATTGTGAAATTAGTTGCAAATTGAATGATGTACTAATACTTTGGATTTGCTGATTGATTTTTTAAATTTGAGTCTCAAAATCTTTGGGTTTTTGAATGTATTTTATTAATTTTGATTGATTGTTTTGATTTTCTTTATTTTTTAACTAATTCAATGCATTTTTTATATTGTTTTGCTTTCTTTTTTTTTTTATTAATTTGGCGTTAAATTTCAAGCATCTAAAGTAAAGAAAATGAATGTAAATATTTCAAAATAGGAGACAAAACAAAGCAATACATATTGTAAAGTTGAGCTTTAATCTTTTTGGGGTTTATGAAAGGGTAGGATTAAGGGGATGTCCCGCTGATCTAGACTCTTGGTAAGCACATTGGAATAGACAAAACGCATCCTAGTTAAATAGTTTATTAATTTAAATTCCCTGATTTTCTTTTATTTATTATATTCTCTGACATTTTTTATAATTTTTAATATTTACAGATCCGTCGATAGTTGCGGAGCAGCAAGTTCCAGTGCAGCAGCAAGTTCCAGTGCAGCAGCAAGTGCAAATGCAGCAGCAAATGCAAGCGCAGCAGCTAATACAAGCGCAGCAGCAAATGCAAATGCAGCAGCAAATGCAAGTTCAGCAGCAAATTCAAGTTCAGCAGCAAATTCAAGTGCAGCAGCAGCAGCAACCAGTGGTGGTCACCACACCAACAACGCTCATCACACATACGAACAGCAACATAAACGTGGTGGTGGATACCACGCCGCTCTTCTATGCGTCCACCGTTTCCAGTGCGGTGCAGCAGGCAGTGACAGTGCCAGTGCCAGTGCAGACCATGGCAGTTCCAGAGCAGACCATGTCAGTCCCTGTGCAAATCATGCCAATGCTTCCACCGGTGGCAACTGTGGTGGAGTCCACCAACGAAAATAACAGCCATGCATTCGAAGTCTTTCCAAAAATCCAACCAACCAATGAGCAGCCGAAGGAACCCGTTCCCGTTGACCCCATACCGTCTGCCAATACTTCCAATATCTCGATGTTTGGCGATATGCAGGATTTCATTGATAACACCGATGTGGCTGCCATATGCACGATACCAGCGGACGATATGCCCGTTGTGGATGGCGACGATATTGTGATTGATAATAACAATATCAGCCTAGACTTTGATGCCGAGAATCTATTTGAGGAATTCGAGGAGGAGGACGATACGGTGGGCGACGACGAGGGGGAGGAGGAGGAAGAGGACGAGGCGGATAATGACGATGAGAATGACAACAACGATGCTGCCACAGATCAAAATCTACTGCTTACCAGCGACGATGACGACGTGGACGACTTTGACGATGAGCAATCGAAGCATCTGCAGAAGCCCTACTGCATTTACTGCAACAAGAAGTTCACCAGTCAATACAAGTTCGAGAACCACATGTTTGTCCATCGCGGTGAGTTAAAGCCACATGATACCAGCGTAAATACAGTTTTATAAAGAAATATTTTTCTTTAGGCCTGGCTCCCTATCGCTGTGAGCTGTGCACTAACCTCTACAACATGAAGCGCCTGCTGATCAGGCACTACAAGACCGTGCACAAGCGAATGCCCACCAGGGACATGGTCCAGGCCAAGGGCGATAAGGTACTGGAGACCCGTACCAACATAGAAAAGCTCTACATGGATGGAGTCAAAAGTAAGCTTAAGCTAGATAGCTGATATACAAATAGAATCACTAATTCATACAATTTTCTTTTTAATAAGGTCCCATGGTTATGTGCGCCAAATGCCCCTTTGAGTGCGAGGCGGATGGAGAAATGCGAAAGCATCTGAATGCCCATCACGGCATTAACGATGGACGTAAGTCAGGAAAACCATAGTTAAACAAAAGCTTTTGATTAAGGGTTTGACTTTATATTAACTCTCATTAAGGGTTTGACTTTATATTTAAATAGAAAAGAATAAGACAAGTTGGCAATTTTGAAACTTTTATCATTAATAATCTATTCACTTGTTGTTTTGCTCTTAATTACAGTGTCCATACATGCCAACGAGGTCTTCATTATACGCAGTAAGTATCGCAAGTCATTATAGAAACCTCCTTTCAAATATAAAAACCCACTAACTCTTTTCCTCTCTCATGATCTCTAATCACAGAATTGCCTTTCGAGTGCCCGCGCTGTATTCGATCGTTTGCTGCCAAGGCCACGCTCACCCGCCACCTGCAGCGCAGCCATTTGGTGGACACTATTATAGAGATGCAAACGACGCATTCGTCGGCGGCCACCACCACCATTACAACAACGACGGCCACTATAGCCGGGCCAGTGGGGAATAAAGAATCTTTTAAGGACGAGACGATGATGATGACGACAACGGCGGCTGCTGCAGGCAATGGTAAGAGCCTCAATAGCCTTGCAAGAATGAACTCAAATTCCCATTTCAACTCTGCCCGACACGAACTGCATACGCATCCCACTTTAATTGATTAACCTATATTTGATGACCAACAATGATCTTAGCAGAGCTGGGAGGAAACCAGGATGATGGAACTGCAGCGCCACCAAAAAGGGAGCGTGCCGTGCCAGAGGAGGATGTGGATCCGGTGACATTGGACGCGGCCACTGCGGCGACGACAGCTGCCATAGCTGCTGCCATATCCTCTGCCTCCGTATCGCCCAGCGTCACAACAGCCTTGGCACCATCCGCATCCAATCTGTATCCCACTCCCACGCCCTTTGATTTCGACTATGACCTAATGGCCAACGATGCGCAGCGATCCCAGGTCTCGACTCCCACCTCCCATCCCCAGCTCGGATCGCCCGGCAGCGGTCTGCTCAATGGCAGCGACAAGCTACTGACCACAGCCGCCATGGGGCCATACCCGACGAAGGGTCTGCGTTCCACCAGGCGGCAGGCGCACAGTTCGATCTATATGTGCAAGCTGTGCAACAAGTCCTTCGACGAGCTGGGCAAGCTGGTCAAGCACGAGATGGAGTTCCACTCGAATACGGAACCCTCGCGATGGGGCTACCAGCACAAGTGTTCCATCTGCAGCACCAGCTACCGCACGCTAACGCTGCTAAAGTTCCACATGAAGCGGCACGTCAACCGGATATCGCAGTGCAAGCTCTGCCCCAAGACCTTCGCCACCAACGCGGAGCTGGAGAGGCACATGAAGGTGAAACATTGCCGCGAAAAGTTAATCGGTCCTTGTGCGCTGAATGGCTGCAAAAAGATGTTCGCCTTCAAGCATCACATGGTGCGGCATCAGAACGCCTCTCATCTGAAATCCACGCATATCTGTGAAGTTTGCAACAAGGAGATGCTGACCATGGCGCACCTAAGATCCCACATGTTACTGCACAAGGGCACGGTGTCCTACAAGTGCCCCGAATGCGACCGCCTATATTTGCGGCGCGGAAGGTGAGTTTTCAGTCTTTTCGCAATGAATTTTATGACTAATTTATGAAATGTTCCCTCTCATTTTCTAGACTTTTAAGTCATCTAATGAATATTCACAAGAAACGCCTTACCGAAGATGAGAAGGCCATCCTCTTCGGCGAAATCAAAGAAGAACCAAGCCCGCCGCAAAGCCCGAACGATCTGAAGGTGATGAGGAGGAGGGGGCGTCCCAGCCGCAAGATCTTGGAGGCGGCCGAATCGTTGGTCAAGGAGGAGACGCAACCGGCAGCAGAACTTTCCAAATAGTCCAGAATTCTTCCTCGCTAAGTTATCTATCGCACACTGTACAAAGTATGATATACTCTAAGTACTGTACTTCATCCCTTGTTTTAGTGCATCTAATGTATTGCAGTTTACCCCTTAGGTTGTAAATTAAGCAAAGAATTTAACCGTAAAATCGCACATTATGTTAGCCCAAAATACAGACAAACTATATATCACTCTACTGTAAGGCAGTTATTGATTTTAAGTTGATCTGAACAGGCTTTTGTTGCTCAGCCCAAAAGTAGGATAAACTTTAGTGGTATCATCCGCCTCCAATGCGCCACAAGAACTGTAAAATTCAAAGTAACTTCGGTTTTGGCTGGCCGATCACGTATTTTGTAATAAAAACCCTTAATAGAATAGTTAAGAAGACTTGTTTTAAATGATTTTCTATTGATTCGTTATTAATATTTAAATACACAGATATATATATACTTATATGCTATGTTATCGAAGCACTTATTCCCTTAGGTTTTTTTTTTTTTAACTATAGATTGAACTATTTTTTTGGACAGAATACAGAAATAAATAATCGAAAACACAAACCAAGCTACTGATGTTAGGGAACTCCCTTCTTGAAGTTATTCCACTTCCAGCTCCACTGATTTTCCAAGCTGACCAGCTGCTGGTAGGATATAAAGTCGTCCTTGACGAATTCCTTCAACCGAGCCAGCTGCATCATTGCCTCCTCGATGCTATAAATGGGTTTAACCAGATCCACGGACGAGAGGTCGTCGTCCTCCCTGTTCGAGAGTGGCTCGCTCTTCACCAGGATGGTCTCGAACTCCTGCACATCCAGGCTATCACCAGTTTCATTATAGTTTATATTGTGCCTCTTTCGCCACTTTTGCAGCCAGCCAGGGGATGCGGAAAATCCATCGTAGCCCATCTGCACCGCTATCTCCCGCGCCTTTTCGCGAACAAACTGGCCGGAAATGGGGACATTATCTTTTCTGGTTAAAGAAAACCAGTCGAAGACCAGCTCGTCGATGTGGGCGCCATGCTGGCTCAGGGGATTTCTCCTCACTTGGCTCATATTTAGGTGTCCGGATAACAGGCCGTTGTTAATGGCATCTTTGTTTCTCAAGATCTCGTGTGCCTGCGTTTTACCAATGTTAAATCTGAAGGAATTCAAAATTCACGCATATATTCAAACACTAATGACAACGTTACCTATTGGCCAGTTCCCGTACTGTTAGCTTTTCATCCTCCTGCGTCCGGATCACGGCCAGCTTCTCCTCTAGAGTAAGTAATTTCCTGGGGCACTTGCGTTTGTCGGGTGTTTCGGGTGGCATTACAACTGGCAAGTAATGGTTTCAGGTCAGCAGCAATTCTTTCATTTGTCCAAGGGCGTTAGAAACGTTGTAGAATTGGGAAAACCCTTGTCCGCTCAAGGGAGCGTCCGTCCGTGTGAGTTCGATATATTTAAGAATTCGATAGATACTCAGAAGGGTGGACCTTATCAATACACCTATTTATATATATAAATCTATATACATTAACATTATTTCCTTCATTTATAAACAACATTAGAAGCAAATAACAATTTAATATTTTTATAATTTCAACCATTTCAAAAGGCTTTAATTTTATTTAAATGTTCGAACACAGCTCACCCTAATGTACAGTGTGACCGTGGCAAGGAGTACCGCTAGTCAGCCGGCCCTGAGAACTTTTTGCAACTACGCGCAAGGTCTTACAATTTCAGCCACAGAAGAAAAGAGCGGTATAAAATACACACATTGTTTGAGGAATATATACATTTTCGAAACGCAGTACCCACAACCCAGGAAGAAGAGCGTCCGGCCAAGAACAGCAATCCACACTAGCGCTCATGGACGCCGCAACAGCTGCTGTTGCGGACTCCGCGCTGGTGGCCATGAACAAATTAAATGCGGCCAAGTGCCGAGCCTGCCTGTCGGTGGACCGAAAAACCGTCCAGCTGGACGCCCCCATGCCGAACCTGCAAAAGTCTCGCACCTACGCCCAGAGCCTGAAGCAATGCACCAACCTGGATTTGCGGGTAAACAGTCCCGGCGGCTACCTGTGGCCCATGCAAATCTGCGTGCGCTGCTGTCGCGCCTTGGAGGTGGCCATGCACTTCGTGGAGTTGGCCCTGGAATCGAATCTCAAGCTGTACGCAGAGTCCAAAAGTGTGAAGCTGCCGAGTCCCACGGGGGAGCTGAAGCGGAAGGCCAGCAGCGAGACGCTTCACTGGAACCAATTTAGCCAGGAATTCGAGCAGTTTGTCGAGAGCTACGAGGGTATGACGGGACCCATCGAGGAGAATGTCCTGTACATGCGCGGCGCCAAGATACCACGCCTCGATGCAGATGCGGCGGCCAGCAAAAAGGCACCCAAAGAGGATGAGGGTAAGGATGGTGTCTTTTCCAGGGGTACCTTAAATTATTTGGATTCCCTTTCACAGTCATCTTGTTCGACGTCAAGTACGACACCAACGATCTGGAGGAGGAGGACGAGAACGACGGGTCGGATGCCAAGAACAGCGAGACCTTCTTCGAGAGCAGTATTACGCCAGGAGTAGCTGCTGTTACCAACAAAACAGCGAGCAGCAAGAGCGGCGAGAACAACAATAATTACAAATTTAATAACAAAAACGGCGACTCTCTTCCGGATGAGGAATGCGATCTTATACAACGCGCCCTTTACATGACCTTAAACGATGAGAGCCCCAAGCCAGCCAAGGAGTCCATCAAAGAGCAGCCGCTTAAATGTAAAGTAAGCATTAATTTTGCAGATTTATTATTAACCAATCCGTGTTGTTTTTAGCCCGGGAGAGTGAGGATTCAGCACCAGCTCTCCAAGAGACTACCACTAGAATCTTGCCCAACGGCACCATAGCCACTATACCCAACCTCAAGTGCAACATTTGCCAATTTACGAACACAGATGCCAAGCAGCTGAGAGGTCATTACAAGAGTATTCACAAGATATACATGGCCGAGGACGACATAATTGGCTTAAACAAAAGTGAGATCAACTGTCATTTCACAGATTATGCAAAATATTACCAATTTTTTACGTATCACTGCAGATCAAAGCTTCAAGTGCCGACCCTGCAATAGTTATGAGACGAAAGACAGAGGTGAAATGCAGAAGCATCTCATCGATCACCATAAAATAGATGGAGATTTCGGTAGCCACGAGTCTGAGTCCTAGAAAGTCCCATACTAAGCTGTTTTCTGCCCACAGAAATGTACTGCTACGTGCAGGCCAACTGCCCGGCTTGTGCCCGGATATTCAAGGATCAGGGCTCTGCCCGAAAGCATTATACTCGGGTGCATACACCGGCCCCAGTTCCGACATCACCACCGGAATCGTACGTCTGCAAGGTCTGCGACAAGGTCTTCAATCAGAAGGCCGGACTACACAGTCACCAGCGGTTCTGCCAGGTCAAGGATCCCGTCCACTGCACCTTCTGCGACCAGGAGTTCAGCAGCATGCGCAAGTACGAGCTGCATCTACAGCAGCTGCATGCCGTTGAGACGCTCCACGAATGTGAGATCTGTCACAGGAGCTTCAAGAGCGCCGACACCCTGGCCGTGCACCGCAAGCGACACTCGGAGCGGCACTTTCAGTGTGACAAGTGCACCCTGAATTACGTCAACTCGGCGGAGCTGAGGGTGCATTACGAGCGGGCCCACGTGAATGAGGAGCAGGTAAGCTGCCTCACCTGTGGCAGCCAGTTTCAAAACTTTGCCCTGATGCGCGAGCACGAGCAGAGGAGTCACCAGAAGCAGAAGGTCTGGCGCTGCGAGGTGTGCAACTTTGAGGCGTCGACGAGGTCGCGATGGCGTCAGCATCAGTACGAGCACATGGAGTATCCCTACAAGTGTCAGCATTGCACTGGAGAGTTTGCCGATCGCAGCAAGTACGTATGTTCATCTATGTAGGGGGCAGAGGCTCATCACTCTTAGAATTACAGATTCCGTCAACATTCCAAGAAGCTGCATGGCATCGAGCTGAGTGACGAACAGCTGGCGGAGATGTTCCGCGAGAAGAAGGGCTACACCAATCGGCACGATGCCTTCAACAAGTCGAACAACTCCCTGGAGATACCCGGCTTCACGGAGGACTGCTTTACGGAACTGAAGAGCCTGGGCGTGGACTACGACGACATAACCACAGATCTCTTCGCCAACTCCAGCACCCTGGACCACTTGCTAGACTTGATACCCTGAACTGAGGACCGATCCATTTTACCTGCATAGAATTTACAAACACAAAGAATAGCTGACGAGAGCTAGAAGACTGTCTTACAAGCACTTTAACAACACCACATAACCGACATCATTATACACCACACACTTTCAGTTCGATCAGATCACAGTGAATTCCTGATATTTTTGAAGTCACAATCTCAATAAACAAGAAACAAACATGCGTTTCTGAAGCGCGCCCAATGCTCACAGTTTCATTTATACTCTGAAGGAGGATTTTGTATTTTAAACTATTTGAATTGCAATAACTAGTTAACGCCCTGGATGAATTTTGAGAGGAAGTCTGTGGGCTTGGGTTCCTGTGATTCCTTCCAGTAGCGCATGATGTGACCCTTTTGCTTCCAGATCTCCACGGATTCCTTCAGCTCCATCTGGCCCTGAATATAAAGAGAGAGGTGCGTTAGTGGCATCCCCCCGCAAGCTCCGGTTCGCCACTCACCTTGATGACCAACATGTCGATCACCCGGATGTCAGTCACATTGCGATGCTTCACGAACTCCTCGCGCAACTTGTCCCGGCACTGCTCCACGGTCATGGGAATGTCGTAGTCCATGACTGCAAGATCCAGGAATTGTTTATTGGCCGTCGGGATGCGCAGTTCGATGACATAACCGGGAGCACTTACCAATGTAGGGGATCTGGCGGTACCAGGCCTTGTACAGGTTCAGGGCGCGCTTGCGTGCCTCCTCCCGGTCCACGGACAGGATGGGTCGCACCTGCTGCACGGCTCGCTTCACGGCTTCGCGTCCGGCCATTGGATTTGTTTAGTTATTCTGTTTTTTTACAAAACGAATGGCTCCCAGCTGAAGAGTGTGACCGTCGTTCAATACGTTAAAAACGCAGCTTGGCCTGAAAAATTGAACATTCGTTGTTAAAATACCAATATTTTTAAAATTAAATAGATTTCTTTGTATAATAATTTTTCCCATATAAATCGCTATAATTTAGAAAATTAAGACTAAAGGGAAGCCATGGAAAACGTGGCTGGCAGAATTTTCAAAACGTAAAGCTTGCTTAAAACAGCTGACTAGCAGCTGTTCATAGTTCAACAGGTCAATATGGAAACTACCAAAAACCGGTGTTTCCAGCAATTGTTTTATTTTTCGGTGTACTTTTATACACTGCTGTTTATCTTAATAAATATTTGATATACTAAATATTTTAGGACTAAAGTCCCGTTATAAAATGTTTTGGTATGTAGGCAGGCATGTCGACTTGCCATTTCGGTATATTTTCCAGCTTTGGTCACTCTAAACTGCATTCTTGACAAGAATTTGCTTTAATTCGCATTTAAAAACGCAAATGCAATGGCGAACGATTTCCCTCCGTGTGCCATTCGTTTATGGATGCATAAGCTGCAGAAGGGCGCGGCCCAGGCGGTGGGCCGTCTTGAGAACTGCCTGCTGCCGTCCATGAGCAAGGGTGAGTGGAGAAACGAAATCCAATTGAATCTCAGATTCTTATTAAAAATAATGTTCCCTTTTTCCAGAGACGGCTAGACTGTCAGTGAAGATCGCTACGGAACGTGGCATTTTGGTGACCAATAAAGACGCCAAGGTTCGGCGCCCCACCCTGAAGTTCTGCCAGAAGCTAAGCTCCCTGCCAAAATACTCAAGCGATCCGTACTGCTACGAGTGTCATTTGCCCGGAGACCTTAGGAAATGCGTGTCTTGTGAGCGCTGCTTCCACGAAGAGTGCCAGCGCAAGGACCCCGAGAAGCCCACCTACCTGGTTCCCTCGGACAAGGATCAACCATATCAGTTCCCGCTAAGCGTGCCCGACCAGGACCAAAATGAGAGCGTGGAGGTGGTGGCCATGTCACCCACTCCACAGCCACTTCTAGATCACAACAGCAATATAGAACAAGAGTCACCGGCCCCACAGACGCCGCATTTCGTCAAGCACGAGAGCTACGAGTGGGACGACGATGTGTTCTATGTGAGCGAAAAAAAGGGCGTACGTCAGCGTTCGCAAGCCACCGTAAAAAACGAAGAGGCCCTGGGTTCAGACACCGATGCGAGCAGCGAATTGGAGCTTTGCACTCGCTGTCGGCTACTCAAGCTAGCCACTATCCGAAATCCGCCGCAGCTTGACAAAAAAGAGTTGGCTTGCCTCTTGAGCAAAGTCTGGGGTGATAGCCACAGTTGGATGAGCACAGACGTGGCCACGTACATGGCCGATAACTGGAAGAATCGTGATATTGCGCTGGTTAAGCGCATCCTCTTCAAAAGTGATATCCTGGGACTGGAGGACATCAAGCGGAACATTGAGGCTGAAAAGTACACGTACTTAATGGAGTTTCACGCCGATCTGCTTGACTTACAGCACAATATGGCCGTGTTCTTTGGCCACCAGGCCGAGGAGTACGAACCCACCAAGAGGCTCATTCGGGATGTGTCTCACTACATCCAAGAAATCCGTAAATGCGTGGACTGCTTTCGATATTCCAACGAAGAAAACCTCTCCAAGATGTGGTTTGCCAAGCCCTGTACACAGCGGCATGAGTTGGTCCTGGCCAAGACGGCAGGCTACCCGCACTGGCCAGCAAAGGTAAGTGTAGATATTTCTCCACTTTAATTAAAAAGAAAATTCCATTTGAAATAATCTAAAAGTCAAGCTTGTGATCATTTCAAGGCTTACTAGTGAAAGTTACTTTGTAAAGTCTCTAAAAATAATTACTTTTTCGCAGGTTATAAGCGTCTACAGCGGCAATCCAAACAAGTATGATGTTCGCTTTTTTGGTGGTGACCATTCGCGTGCTCTACTCGCCGAACGGGATATAATTCCCATCGATATGGATACTGACTTACATTTCAAAGCAAAAAACACGCACGGCTTCAACGACGCCCTGTTGGAACTGCACTGTCACATGATGCTGTCCGGCTATTCCGCCACACTCTTTGGCTTCTATGCTGATCCCGCCGAAGCCGAGGAGCTTATAAAACTGGCTCTATCACGTTGCACCAAATCGGGCGTCTCCCATACACCGGGCAAACGAGGAAGACCGGCGACACCGGCAGCTGCAAAGAAGCGCAAGCTGCTGAATAGCTCCAGTTGCCCATCACCGGTGCCTACTCGCGTGATGCCGCGACGCAGTGTTTTGCTGCGGGAAAGTGGGGGCACAGTCAATCAACCGGAGAATGGAATCTATCAGAATCTCACCGAGCAAATCCTGAAGGCGCACGACGACCTCCAGAGGTACCAAAGCGAGTTGACGGCCATGCAGCAGGAGCTGAATGTAGCAAAGCTCAAGCGATGGTGCCACCACTGCCTGCAGGAGGCTGCGTTCGACTGCTGCTTTGCGGCGTCCTACTGCAGCGCCGACTGTCAGCGTCGCGATAAAAGACGCCACCAGGGAGCCTGTAAAGTCAATCAATAAAATAAGATGCCTGGTGATAAGAATATTAGTTCTGCTTGGGAAACCTTATTTTTCTTATAAAAGGGAGAAATTTTTTACGAAATTTATAAATTCTTAAATATTATATTTTTTAAATTTGTTGATTTTATAAAACAAAAGCGTAGAAAAGAACTTTTGAGTTTTCAAATTACTTTTGATGGGCATCATTGTAGTTCTATGATTGGGCAGCACTGCTGCCCATAGATGGCGCATTTGTCTTAAATGATAAAGTTCGAAAATTAAATTATTTTGAAATAAGAAACCTATTAACTCTTAAATCGTATGTTTAAAGCTAAATATTACAAAAATATAATAACTCAAATAAATTATAAATTTCTTAATATTTTACTTTTACATTTTATGGTTTGAATACGATTTTATGCATTTTAAGACCCCAACAATTATTTTACAAAATTAATTTGATCTTTAAAATCGATTCCACCACATGCTCCCATTACGTACAATTACGCCAACTTTAAACGCTCTTCGGCGAACGTGTTTCCCCGCAGACTGAAGCCATAAGCAGGCATAAAGTTCAGCCAAAAAGGTCAAATTCGAATTGGCGAAACGCTGAAAAGGGTTCCTCGTGCAATTTACGAGTGCAGGCCATGTGAATGCAACAGATTTCATGGGGTAATCGCATTTTATGAATGCAGAGGCCGGAGGGAATGACCGTTAAACGGAATCCCAAAAAATAATTGATTTATGCCGGGTTCAGCAGCAGCAAGCCATCGTTCCCGGAATGGAAATGGCCCAAAAGAGTTGGCACCTTGCGCTGGGCATAGATAGAAATACATGGCTGTAATAAATATTTCACTTAGGGGCAGCCGCCACTCAGTCTTGGGTCTCAGAGCGGTCTCCCCAAAGTCGGAAGTCACGTTTAAACGTTTTCGCTAAAAGTTTCACACAGCGGCGAATGATTGATGAGCTCCTTCCACAGTCCAAAAGTCGCACGTGTATCGCTGTATCTTGTGTGTTCATTGGGAATATATGTTATGTTTGTAAGTAAAATGGTCATTAGGGCTTCTCTCTCGGTGTGTGTTTACTCGTGTCTCCGGCCAGCTTTTATGCACTTTCGTACTCGAAATAGTAAATCATTTTTGGGATATCTTTGCCTGCCACTTAATTAGGCCAAGAGGGAGGGAATCGGACTGAATCAATATCTTTCTCTCAGGTTTATACAGTGGGAATTCTTTAAATTGAACTGTGAGATATGATAACTTTGAGTTGGAATACATTTTTGTAAGCTGTGTAAGTTGAAGATAGAGTACCCAAAATAGAACATAGGAACTTTTTATTAAAGGCGAAAAACTCATTCATTCAGCTAATAAACTTTCCCTGCACCTCTTTACCTAAACTGTATAGAATCTAGTCGTTAAACCCTATTATCTAAAATTTAGATTCTAAATAAGTGAAGAATAATTCAACCTCTGAAGTCAAAAGTTATAGAAGCTCTACTGTACTTTGTTTCCCATTTTCAAGCAAGTCATTACTGTTTGTTTACAAAATATTTATTCAACATTTACGGCCTGTGGCTGCGATGTGAGACTTTTGCATTTTGCAATCACAATCCCTGTCGCTCCACAGTCTATATTTGAGTGCAAACATTTTTTGACAAAGAAAAGCTGACAAATTCCAGTGGCAATTAAGAATATTCTCTCTTTATTTGGGAAAAATAAACAAGGTGCTTTCTGTAGCTGTGTCCTTTTGCTTACATTTTGAATTGGGTTTTAATTGTGTGCCAACTTTAAGGGAGTCCCTGGCAGGTAAAGTGTCTGCTGCTGTCTATTAAAATCTTCCGAAACATGGCAGCTTATTTTTCATCAGCTCGTAATCAAATTAGTCGCCTGCTAATTTAAACTGCACTAATTTGTCTGCGTCACGAAGGGAGTTTTTCGCTCCGCGACGAAAATTTCACATCTTCGCGCTTATCGCTTACCTTCCCAGGTTGTCAAAAGGAACTCCAAGGAATTTTGTGACAGGCGGGAAGGATTTATTGGCCCTGCGTTGCTTGCCTACGGAGTAACGCCAGGATCCTCTTAATTAATTTTGTTGTGCAAGGCAAAAAGCTGTCAGAGCTAAGAGAAAAAGAAAAAAGAGTGATATGGCAGGGGAAAAGCGAGTAATGCAGTGTGGGTAGTGGCATTCTTGTGTATTTTATTTATATTCTACCAAGAAGTTTTGTCTTAGTTTATATATACTTTTTTAACCATACCATACCATAAATTAAAGCAGAAAAATCTGTTGTAATTTTATTTATGTTTCTAGAAGCACAAAAGAAAACAATGTCAAAGGCTGTGCAGTTATTAAATTGTATTTAGCATATACTTTTTTGTTTTATATAAAATGTTAAATATTTTTGTGTCACTCTTCACATTTCCTCTGCTGTTTAGGCTCTTATTTTCCTTACTTATTGGTATACACGTCTTCTGTGTCTAGTTTTTCCCAGCTTATTCCCAGCTGCTGCCAGTCTTAACTTCCTTTCGTCCTTAGCCTTGACTCAAACTTGACCATGCCAGGTCTCCCCCTAGCCTCCAGACTCCTCCCTTGAGTTTTTCCTGCAACAGCTGTCAATGTGCAGGGAATTAAATCTCGAGTTCGGATCCCCAGGCCGGAGAAGCCCATGAAATGCAATTTCAGCCGCCAACATGTGCAGAATGCTGTCGCTTGTAAAAATTTTTGGCATGCGACGAATATTTGCCACCACAAAATGGGACGGAAGGCAGGCTTTAATTTATGGGCAACGACAAGTGCAAATGCACGCTCCAACGCCAACAGCAATGGGATGCAATGAGAATGTGTTGCAGCCAACATGCAGCATGCAACAGAACAACATAAACCGAAACAAAACAACCGCAGACAGCCAGATTGCAGATGAGGAGGAAGTTAATGAGTCTATTATGGGCGCCAAGGGGGCGGCATATTGCCCATTGAGAATTTAGATGAAAAGCCTCAAATTGTGCGCGGTGGGAGGCGTTTAATTACAATGCCACGCCCTCCGATTGCCTAATCCCCCCTAATGGCCGGCTTAACTGTTTTGGAAATTCCATCATGAAACTGGGCAGAGTGTCAGGAATTATGCTGATTTTTACATTTTATATGCATATTGCCGACTGTTATGGCTATGCGTCACTTACATAACCGTAACGAACTTTCTGCAGGAGTCGGAGTATATTGGTAAGAAGCTTGGGTTCTCCACAGCCCCACCCAATGTCCACAAACTTCAGATCCGATCTGATCCGTGAGTGGTGGTGAGTCAGCTTCGGGACTCTGGTAAATAATGTTTTGTTTAAGCTTTTTATATGCCAATTTTCGCAGAAAACACAACACCCCAACTCAAGTGTCAATGGCCAAAAGTTTGTGCGGTTCGAAAGAGAGGTCATAAACTTGGCTAAAACTATAATGAGTAATTGGGACAAAGGCTGTTAAATATTCTGCATTGAAAACATTAATTGATATTTGCTGTAATAGTTATAAGGCTTAACATAAAAATGAACACTTTATATTTCCCTAGAATTTAGGTAATAAATAAAGCGGTTCCTTAATTCAAATAGTTACATAAATTATGGTTGATTTCCCTAAATTGCTTTAATTTTCCAGCAATAATTACGCCTTTATAGGTAATAACCAACTTTAAATCATTTATTTGTCAACGCTCTCCTCTTAAGTGCTCTTTTCCTGCAAATGAATTAATTTTCTTTTTATTAACATGCTAATAAGAGTTGACTTATCATTTCCATGTCAAAAACTCTAAAGCCAAATCCAATTCCATTTCCTGTTTTTCCCCCACAACTCAACTCTGCAGCAACTCTGCGCGCGACTGCAGCTTTCGAATTTCTTCTTTTAAAACCAATTATCAAATCATGTCGCTGCTGGCTGACAAACTCATTTATTTTGCTTGCTGCACTCAAAACGGAGACAGGCCCACATACATCATACTTGCACTTGGTGGGGACTCTTGGGGACTTGTACTCCCACTTTTTCCCTCTGCTCTTTAATAAATGCAACCTAATTTTGCTTTCATTTCCACACATGTTAACTACAGATATCCAACTGAAAATGTTTGTTTTCATCTATAGGAAAATTTGGGGCTGCCCTTTCCACGGACTTCCCCCAGGCCACAAGACTATGACCACGACCAAGACCAAGACCGAGACCCAGAACCACATCCACATTCAAAAAGTGTCAAACTGTCGGCAGGGCCTGAAATTGTCATTACTCAGTGTCTGTTGCCTCGTTTACAGGTTCGAGAATTAAGAATGGAAAATGTGAGTGGGGGAAGTGCTCTCTAAATTTCCAGCTAATTTTAATGTGTGACAATTAAATGTGTGGGGTTTTAAGACTAAGAAATACTCGGGTTTTGACTACTAATTAGATTTTCTTCAAGGTATAATGTCAGATCTTGGTTCCCTTCTCATTTAGGTTTTAAGAGCTCTTAATAAATATTATCTTTTAAAACAAATTCACAGGCTTTATATAAATTAAGAAAACTGTCAAAATATTTCCAAAGTGTATGTGAAAATATGTATTTACAATTTTTTTGCTCGTCATTCACAACTTGTTTGCTGTTTTTTCTGCAATTTCAATTGATTATTTTTTCCATTTAGTTTCTACTATTTTTCCATATTCTCGCCAATTCGTTGGAGCTCAAAATACATCAGCATAAATCACTGGCGGATCTCTGTGGCAAGCGCCACAAAAAAAGAGGAAAAAGGAGTGGAAACAAGAAAAAAACACACAGCGACATATTAAATTTACAAGTTGATTTTGATTTATGCGCCATAAGAGTATGGACAGACTGTGATTTCTTGTTGTTGCTGACGGCGCCTGCAGACGTTAACTTAATTTAACTTACCTAGTTGTTGTTGTTGTCAGTGGGTTTGCTGCTTTGTTGTATTTGCTGCTCACTTTTTGTTGTTGCGTCGCAATTTGCTGCCTGCGCCGCCTGTCGCTGCCAATTAAGCCGGGAAATCGCGCGCGGTTTTTACCGCCTCCAAATCGCTGTGGGAAAAATGTAAAAAAAAAAATAAAAAAAAGAATAATAAAATGGTTATGCCCTCTGTCACTCGCAAATGATTGAGATTATAGTATATAAATGTTTTATTTTAAGTTGAACTTAAATCAGGAATTAAAATAGATTAAGAAATAGCGTTTTAAGTATCTTTATCATTTATTTCAGTTCATTAGCTAAACTTTTAGCCAATTTCGGGTTCTCTGTTCTTTATTGAAATTGTTGTAAGCTCTGTTTGTTTTCCAAAACTTTCTAAAACTGTCCAAGATGATTTTCCTCCCTTAAATTATATATTTACCCGAATTAATTGAAATGTAAAACCAATAACGCAGCAAATCTATTTTTTCTTAAATATAAAAATGTAATAGAACTTAGCAAAAGGAAACTAAAGGACTTTAATACCTAAGCTGGTTAAAATCTAATGATTATACATACATTTTCCTTATCTTTTCCCAAATATTGCAGGTTCAACTGTAATGGAAACCAAGGCTAGTTTAATTAATTATTAATTATTGTTAAAATATCACAATATGAAACCTAACAATTTCTTTAAAAGACTAAAACCAAGAACAATAAGATTCATTTAAAAGATATGCATTAAAATTCCCCCATAAACTATTTTATATAATTTTCTTAAAAGGCCAATAACCTTTTATGTATTTAAGCATTTTTTGTTTTAAAAATCCAATGCCTTGATTTATATATTTTGCCGCATACGAAATTAATTCGCTTAAGCGCCTTTTCATGTTGGCACCTAACGACTCTTTGAATGGGATCCACATGGGAGTCGAGTCCCATCCGTTTCCTCTTCTCCATCCCCTCCTTTGTGGCTTGTGGGCGTCGAAGTTGTTCCGTCTGTCGCTTCAACTTGAAACTAGCAAAGCAAATACAGATAGGGATGCAAATACAGGCAAGGCTGGCAGTCAGACAGCAACTCGAATTAATTAAAACTGAAAATTGCAGTTTGCCAGTGCGGGAACGCGTCTCAGTCACCCCTCCTCATTTGGGGCGTTGAGCTTTTTTAAAAACCTGCAATTAGCAGCGAGAATCTGTTGGGCCTGGTAATTTGATAAGTCCTCGAAACTTGACCCACTTTACGGGTATACGGATACGCTAATGAAGTCCATCTTCACCAGCTCCCCCATCTCCTGAAACAGATAAATGGGGGAGGGAGTCTCTTCCCGCCGTTTATTTTTACGACGCTTTCGCTCAGGCGCTGGCGTTTAATGTGAAATTTATCATTTCGCTGCCACGCCTCCCCCGACCCCATCCGACAAATTGTCGGCCTTGGACAGATTTTTTATTGCATTCACATTTCTCCCGGGCGTAAACCGATATTTTTTATTTTTCAGCTTTTAAAGTTGTGGGTCTCTTTTTTTAATGAACGTTCCTTTGGCATGCATATTTTTTCGAGGCACAACTTTTAACCACAACCTGTCTCGGCGGGGGTGGCAATCAGAAAAAATGCATTTCACGTGGGACTTCTCCTTTTTTATAATGGGAAAAGTTTGCAGAGTACAAGCGTCGATAAGGAACAAGTTTAGACGTATGCATTTCGTTGATAATCCAATTATAAAAGTCAAATTAGCTTATCAAAGAGTTATCCTTTTAAAACATATATTTCAAATTCCCGCGCTAACACTGCAATGGCTGACCATTTTTAAATATATCGATAGTAGCGATAGCAACATCGATTCTAGCTTAGTATATTTTGCTGCTGAAATTCACCCGTCAGTATGTCTTCGTATAAAATGCTAAATTACATAAAATGTATAGTTTTTATCTGATAACACAAATAATTAATATAAAACGCTGTTATTCGCCATAAAAACTAAATGTACAATTTATTTTTAATATAATAAATATTATTATTATTATAAAAATTAATATTTTCGTTGGTATATTTTTGGTATATTTTTGAAGGGCAGGACAAGCATAACTTATCGATAGTCATGCGGTCACACTGTCTCCAGGCCAGCGCGCTTTTTTCAGTCAAATTTTTCCCGTTGAACGCGCATGTTTGCGCCACCTTGTCACTCTAAACGCGATTTACAACCAGAAAATACCCCAAAATGTACAAATAAAACGATAAAAAACCAATCGGCAAACGAAAATAAAAAAACACCTCTCATTTAATACAGAAAACCATCGGGAGTTGTGATTTAACAAAATAACTGCAGCTGTGAGTCCCGACGCCAGGCGCAGGCTAGAGCGAGACAACGCTATCGTCCGTGTGTGTGCAATTTGTTGATAGTATTTCCTGTTGTTGTTGTAAAAAATGCGCCGCTTGCAGCCGAACAACAACAAAAAGAACTGAAACAGCAAAAAGAACGGCGTATGCCGGCAAAACAAGCGTAAACGTAAATTCGATTGATGAAAAAGGCGCAGAATAAGAAAAACAAGAAGCATGCACAAATCGCCAAAGAATACACAACAAAAGTGGAGTGAGCATTAGTCGCGTGCGTATGTATGTGTGCTGTGTTGTGTGCGCGTTAACTGCGTGAGTGTGAGTGCCAAGGAAGAGGAGCCACAAACATAAACGAAAAAAGTGGAAGGAAATCGAAAGCCAAGATGTTGTAAACAAAAACTTGGTAAATTCATATTACCTGCAAACGCCAACGACGGTTTCCAGTTCAATCAGCGCTTAAAATACACAGAAAATGGCCAGCGAGGGAAGAAACAATATCAGCAGTGGTTTCTATATGTGGAGCTGGGTAATCTTTGGACATCTGATACTTCAGCTGATTGGAAGCACAGTGGGAAGTCAAGGTAAGGAAGTAATCCATGAGATATTGGAGGTAATGGTAAATTTTTCGAAAATAACAGTGGTCATAAAAGTTACAGGATAAGGGTTAGGATCGGGTTTATATTTTAAACCATTCCTTGAATGTTTAATATGGGCTAGAATCTGTGAATTTTAGTTTGAAATCAGAAATGTATATATTAAAATTATGATTTTTAAGAAAAGCCTTAATGATATCACTTTATGTCGAGACTTGCGTCAAGGAACGCGACTATACCTAGTTGGGAATTCTAAGGATTGCATTTACCAATGCTAAATTGAATAATTAATTTACAAAGTATTTTTACTTTGGAAAACAGCAATTTTTCTTTAGTAAAAAATAACAACAATATTCAGAAAAAAGAATATAATTTTTAAATACAATTTTATTTTACTACGTACAGGTTTCTAGTAAAACTTATATAATATTTCGTTGGGTAATTTTAGTTTTCAGTGGCTTATCTTGAGGCTCCTTTGACTGTTGCAAAGTATCAATCCATAAAGTTGTGTCCATATCCTGTAATTATCTCTAGAGTAGACCTCTTTTTATACAAGCTATACTTGACTAAAAACCCACCAATATCGCTAGTACAGTTATGGCGACCCGATGTCTGGTCGACGTGCCACAGACCAGGTATATTTGCGCCAAAAAACACTCACAATTTGGAACGCTTATGTCAACTGCAGCTGATAAGCACACAGTCATACGAGTATTTCGCACCTTGCCTTTCATTTTGGCTCTCGTAAAATTGACGTAAATTCGCAAAACCCTTTCCAGGTCGAGCAGCCCCACATGTGACAATCATTCTGGGTAATTCACCGTAATTAGCCGCCATCATATCAACTGCAGATAAGAGCCGGAAAGCAAGAAGATTGCCAAACGGTTATCTCCTCGATAGTGCCTCGAATTTCGAACATTACTAATGAGCTTCGCTTGAAACGAGATAAACAAGGCACTGCACAACAAGAATTTGAGACTAGCCAACAACATTTCCAATAAATGATCTCGGAGTGAGCCAAAACAAACACCAACTGTGACACCCGTATTCTGTGAAACCAGCAAAATATGTATTTGAGATATTAGGAGAGGCCAGACAAAATGGTGGCCGTAAAAGCCATTATCATTAGGGCATTCTCTCGACCAACAAGTGTTCTTAAGGCATCAGGTAAGGGCAGGTAGAGCAAATGCAAGTAAAATTCAATTAGGACTCAGGATCAGCCACAGTTCCAGGTCAAATTTAGGGTTCCCCATAAATAGAGATTATAAAAGATCGTTAGGCAGCTGCACAATACATCAACTGATTGATTTGGACGGAAACTAAGCCGGGGTTGGTTTAAGGGCTTATCATATTTCAATTTCGCCTTTTTTCGATTCTAAAGAGTAAACATAATCGCAGGAAATGAGGGAGGGAAACTGAGAATCACCACAAAAAGCGCAAATAATGCAAACAAATTAAATGTCCTTCGTTCGAGCCAAGGAAAATAAACCAACCCCCAAAAGCGAAGTTTTTTTTTGTCGAGGGGGAGACAACGCCTTATCAGCTATGGAATTTATCAATGCCAGCTCTCCGCAGGAAAGCCCCCCAAAAAAAGTTGGGTGTAAAATATGGTGGGCATGTCATATGCAAATGGAATGAAAAATCTTTCAACAAATTTTGGGTCATGGCATGTCATAAGTCGCAGGACTTTGCGCCAGATTTAATTAAAAGCATTCCCTTGCCTAAACTCAAGCTTTATGTGACCTGGCTGTAATTAAAAATACTTTTACGTACATGGGTGTAACCAGGAGACAAAAAAGCAGGTGACAACAATAGGTTACGGTGGTCTCTCGACCACTAAATACCTATTAATTATACTTAATTTCGTGGCAGTGAAAGTCAAATTACTTTAAGAGAAACAAAGGAAACTTTTAACCACTTTTCAATAAGTATTTTACCTTGAGTTCTAAAACTTTTCAAGTCCTTTGTAATGAATGAATGAATACTCTTATTCCTAAGGTAATTTTCTTTTAAAGTTTCTAAAAACATACCCAACTATACTGTAAAACTGCCGTGTAAAAACTCACGTGCAAGAGGTCCTGTTCTCATTTTCGTGTTTATTTGCTGGTGTTCTTTGTTTTCACTTTTCTGGCCATAATTCCTTGCTCGCTTTTAGCTTGGGAACTGTGGCAATTGTATGTTGTTCCGTGTCCTGGGCGAGCCACTCTTCCGGGGGTTTCCCTGGCTTTTCCCCGTGGTCATATACATATAGCATATTTAGCCGCATTACGTGATACCATATATGAGTGACATGTTATTCTAATTTCGCACCCCTTTTCTTCATTTTCCTTGCCACACATTTTTTTCCCGCTTTTCCAGCGAGGGTGCGCTTGTCAAAATAAACATTTCCATATGGTGGCCATAGCCTCTGGCGATGTGTCGCAATGAGCCACAGAAAAAAGGAGTCTCGGGGAGAGAGAGTTTAGAAGAGGGTCTCAGAATGAGGTCACTTCTTTGCCGCTGAATGCAGACTAATTACGGACCGATGCAAAGTCTCTCAATTGTGTTCCGAGCTCAGGCGACACTTTGAAGTGTTGACAAAGCAGCGGAAATTGTTCGTCTTTCGAGGGAGTCTTGTTCCCGTAGGGAATACAATATATATTTAGACCAAAGAACAGCTTAAAGGACTCTCACTTATAGGTGTGAGGAGGGGTCTTAAGCGGGTTTCTTGGGTTTCTCGTTTCCTATTTTTACAAATTTGCATTGTTCAGAGGCGTCAGACAATGCCAGCTTTTGTCCCTTGTAAGTTGCACAAATAAAGTTTTTGTAAGTGAAGTGTGGTTAAACAAAAGTTTGTCTTGTTATTTAATTAAAACAAAATTGTGTTATATTTTAATTCTCACAAGGCACCAAACAGCAGAGGCAGACAGTCAGCAAGTGTAGATGTTGCATGTGCATATATATATTTTTGGGAGAAACTCATGTTGCGGGAATTTTTATGGAAAACAGCAGGAGGAACCACCGAACTCGACACCAAATACCAAAAGTATTGCAAGCTCAGCAGCAGTAATGCATTGAGAAAAATAATAAAACAAATATATACTTCTTACATTTGAGGGTAATACCAAAGAATAGTTAAAAACCTTAGTTATATCTAACAAATTAAAAGATCTCATCAAGTACAGTTAAATTGCAACTGCTTTGTAATTTCATTAATGTTATTTTGTCCCTGCTTTTATTCTCTGTGTATTTGCTGCTGCGTTGGCAGAATGCAATTTCGTTTACAGCTTCGAACCCGAACCTTTCTGCCTTCCACCTTCCTCCGATTCGACATGACAACATGAATAATTCACTTGAACCCGCCACAAGAACACAGAACAGAAACAACAACCAACCGAAGTTGATTCTGCAACCCAAAATGCTCAAAGTTCAATGCACGCAACAGCAGCCACAAAATCCAGATTCTGACCAAAGCTCCCAAAAATGGAGAAGGGACTCTGCTGGATTTTGAGGGAGATATTCGGAAAGAATCAGGGTGAAGGAGAGCTGATCTCAAGGCGGTTACACAGGAAATGTATCTGGCCAGAAGTGTATCTTGTTTTCGCATTTATGTATGTACTTTTTGTGGGGGCGTAGTAGTCTTCCTAGGGATTAGGTCCAATTTGCATAGGTGCGTGGGTTGATCCGTAGATGGCGGACTCACATTTCACCGAAGGACACGGAATAGTTTCTCAACCCACAACCAAAACCGATCTGTGCCAGTACTTAACTTGTTCCCCGGTCCTGAGTGGCTTAAAGTGCCGTTAAAACAAGCCAGCCTGCCTGCCATCAAGCCGGGGCTCCGCAAATCTCACACCTCTGGCGGGGCTGCTTCTCCATTTCCCATCCAACCCATTCCCATTTCCAACTCCATCTCAACACCGGGGCTATAAAATATCAGAAATTATCTGCCTCCACGCCTCGAATCGCACTTAATCACCTCCAGAAGATGCGAGCGTAGAGTGAGTAAGGCGAAAAAATCAGAGAAACGAGCGAAACGGAAGTCGGCAACAGTTTTTTAAATGCAGTCATTTAGCCAAAGTGCTGGTCAGGCCCGGCAACTCTAGGCCCCAAGATCTTTTTCTGGCCACGCCCTGCTAAAAGAACTCAATTTTACCAGATTTTCCATACCCTTTCGAAGGTCTTTTCAGATCTTTTGGGAAGTCTGTAATGCAGCTTCGTTTAAAAACTGAAACTTTTGAGTTTTGTCAGAGTTGGAATACTTTTTGGGAAGACTAAGTATATAAAGTAATGACAGAATAACCTTAATATCACTGTTTTAACTTAGAAGGAAAGTATTTTGCTGACTTTATAAACAAGTTCCATATACAACCGATCGATTGGAGGGTGTTTAAACTTTGGCTTGTTGTTTTCACTCAAAATCTTTCTGGGAGCGGGGTAAACGAGCTTCGGTAATTATTTTGTGCCCAGTGGAGCGAGCGATAAGACAAGCTAGCGCAAAGTAAACAAAGTTTTTGCATTGTTTTTATTTTTTTTTTATTTAGCTCTCTGCATCCTCTTGGCGTCTTCTGCGCTCGTCCACACCACTTCTCCTCTTGTTCTTTTTGCATTTTCTGGTTTCAGGTTTCGCGTGCCCATGGGCTACATTAATTGAAAAAAGTCGCTCGCTTTGGTTGTTGTTCGGCAAGCAAATGAAGTTGGTCTTGGCTTTGGAAGTTACTTGACTGCTCTTGCCCCTCCTCCGTCTCTGAAACCTCATCTTGGCGGCCCCACCACACCGCTGGCTTATCGGTCAACAAAATGCAGTCGCTGGCCGGCGATAAACTGTGGCCATGCGACTGCCTTAAAGTAGATCGATCGGTTGATTGGCGACGGAAAAGCGCCCGCCTCATCTCCAACTCACTCCCCTATTGTCTCGCCGTTTTTCACTTGGGAAAACTTTGTTGATTAGAAAACTATTTAATACGCTTTAAAGTAAGTTAAAGAAAAGTTTAAAATAATCGTTTAGC